CGGTCCCTATCTTTCAGGGTTGTGCCCCCGCTCAGTGCACCTTCTCCGACGGCTTTGCCGCAGTGGCTGAGACTGCTGCTGCAGCGCAGGTCCGTTCGGGGAAGGGCCGCCGCCCCAAGGCTGGGCGCGGCGGAGGAGGCGGCGGGGGTGCGGGCGGGGGTAGTGGTGGGGTCGGGTCGCCTGGTGCTGGAGTGGACGAGGGGACCCTGCCCAGTTCAGCTGAGTCGCCGCCCCTGCAGGTGCAGCAGCCGCCACAGTCGCAGCCTTCGCAGCAGCTGCAGCAGCCGCCGCAGACGCGGCAGCCGAGTGTCCTTCCGCTAGGATGGCCCGGCGCTGGCGGTGGCCGGGCGCGTGGTGGTGTGCCGCGTGGTGGCTCTGCCGGCGGGCGTTGTCAGTACCAGATCCAGACCGGTCCTCGCCGCGGCTTCGTTTGCGGTAAGATCGGTCACTCCACTGCCCGCTGTTTTCGTCGCCTGGACGACCTCTTTCGTCAGCGCTTCGGCCCGTCGCCAGACCTCCCGGACTGGCACAGTTTGCTTATTCGTCAGATTCAGATTTTTGATATGGACATGGATGCCATTGTTTCCGCTTTGCATGTGATGTATGCTGATGACTCTAGTGTGCTTCCCGCTTATTACTCACTGTTGCCTAGTGTAGGTGTGCCTAGCTTAGCCTCCCCTGCTGCGTCAGGCGTAGGATCCCCTGCTTTGTGTAGTCTTGGTGCTTCCGCCGTCGTTCCGTCGCCAGACCCCTCGGCTTCGCTGTCCTTCACCCTGGACTCTGGCGCCTCTCGGTGTTTCTTCCGCGACTCCACCACCCTGACGCCGCTTCCTGTTCCTGCTGCCGTTTCACTTGCTGACCCCTCCGGCGGTCCGGTAGTCGCCCGCAGTTCCACCACCCTTCCCTGTCCGGCGGTTCCTTCGGGTTCTCTTACAGGTCTGCATATCCCCTCGTTCTCCAGGAACCTAGTTGGTGTCGGCTGCCTCCAGGACCTTGGCGTCACCACTACGTTCTCTGGCCACGAGCGGTATGCTGTCTGTACCGAGGCCGCCACTGGTGCCCCCCTGTGCACGTTCCCCCGGGACCCGGTGTCCGGCCTGTTCACTCTGGACACCGCGACCCCCCCGGCTGGAGCGCCCCCTCAGGTGGCTGCGTCTACCCAGGTTGCTGCTGCCTGCTCCTGTCGCTCCCTCACTCACCCGACCCTCCTGTGGCACCACCGCCTAGGTCACCCTGCGCTCCCGCGTCTGCGTCACATGTCCCAGCACGGTCTCGACCTTGGTCTCCCAGGTTCGCTCCCAGCGTTTCCCTCCTCTCCAGCCCCACCTTGCACGCCTTGTGTCGAGGGTCGGCTTCGCCGTGCCCCTCACTCCTCCTCGTTTCCCCCTACCGCCGCGCCGCTGCAGACCCTGCACCTGGACGTCTGGGGCCCCGCCCCCGTCCCTGGGCCGCGTCGAGAGCGCTACTTCCTTGTGCTTGTCGACGACTTCACTCGTTACACCACAGTCTTTCCACTGGAGCGCAAGGTTGACGTGCCTGGCGCCCTCATCCCCTGGCTTGTCTCTGCGCGTGTCCACCGCGGTCTCCCTGTCTTGCGTCTTCACTCAGACCGTGGTGGCGAGTTTGCCTCCGGTGTCCTTGGTCGTTTTTGTCGTGCGGAGGGCATCACCCAGACGTTCACCCTACCGGACTCCCCACAGCAGAATGGGGTCGCTGAGCGACGCATCGGTTTGGTCATGGAGGTCGCTCGCACTTCCATGATCCATGCCGGTGCACCCCATTTTCTGTGGCCGTTCGCTGTGCGCTACGCTTCTCACCAGCTTAACATGTGGCCGCACCCTCAGCAGCCGCAGGTTTCACCGACCCGTCTTTGGACTGGGTCTCCTGGTGACGCGTCTGCGTTCCACGTCTGGGGCTGCCTTGCTCACGTCCGTGCCTCCGGCACGGACAAGCTCACTGCCCGCACCCTTCCCTGCGTCTTTCTCGGTTTTCCCCTTGACGCGTCCGACTGGCACTTTTACCACCCGCCGTCTCACCGCTTCTTTCACTCTCGTGACGTCACCTTTGACGAGTCCGTCTCCTACTACCGCCGCTTTCCCCACCGTGGTCCCCCGGTTACCCCCCCCCTGTTCCTGGTCACCCCTTCCCCGGTAGTCCCTGCCCCCCCCCCTCCTCCTCCCCGTCCTGCCCCCTCTGGTGTGTCCCACGTTACCCCCCTTCCGTCAGTTGACCCGGTTGAGGAGTCTTCTGACTCTGGTGGCCCTCCTGTTCAGTCCTCGCCGGCCGCCCCTCCCCTGGCGTCCCCTCCCCAGTCCCCTCCTCCACCGCCTCTGCCGCCACCGCCGCCGCCGCCGCCGCCGTCACAGCACCCGTTCGCTGACTCTGGGGGTGCTCGTCCCGGTAGCCCTGGGGGTGGTCCCTCTGGGGGTGCTGGTGTGGAGAGTGCCGGTGGTAGCCGAGGAGCAGCTTGCGGTCCAGGTGTCGCCGTTCTGCCGCCGCAGCAGCAGTCCCCGCCGGTGTCAGCCCTTCGCCTGCTCAGCCTTCCGTCCCCCGACCCTGCGTCGGTTCCTCCTCTTCCTGTCTACGGCCCTGTTTTTCCTCCGCCGGACTCGTCCCCGGCTCGTCTCCCCCCTCGTTCCCCTCCTGTGTCCCCTCCCCTGTCTCCTGACCCGACTCCTCCGTCGCACGTCTGATCTCACCGCCCCTCCCGTGCTCGTCCTGCCTCGCCTGTCTTGCGCTCCCACCCTATGTTGCTTCGTTCCCACGCGTCTCGTCCTCCCCTTCTGCCGTCGCCTCCTCCGTCCTCCCTTGTTGTTGCGCCCCCCCTGCTGTCCGAGTACCTTCGTGCCGCTCGTCCTCTCGTTCCTCGGGTCCTTGCCTCTCTCGTTACCGACCCGTCTGTTCCGGTCTCGTGCCTTGACGCTCTTGTCGCTGCTGTCGCTGACTTCGCCTCTACCCGCCGCCTTGACTACGCCACCGCTCTGGTCTCTGACCCTGCCTGTCCTCCGTCTGTCGGGGGTGCTCCTGCCCTTGGCAGTGACGTTCTGGAGGACCGCCAGTTCGAGCTTGCTTTCCTCTCCGAGGCTGTTCCCCATCTCTGTTCCATGCTGCTAGTCCCTGAGGGTGACCCAGACGCTTTCGACATCCCGACCCCTCGCACTTACGCTGAGGCGACTTCGGGACCCTGGGCCTCTCAGTGGATAGCTGCCATGGAGCAGGAGATGGCATCTTGGAGATCCACCGGCACCTTCGTCGACGCAGTTCCCCCACCTGGGGTGAACGTAGTCGATGGCCGCTGGCTCTTCAAGGTGAAGCGCCCTCCTGGAGAGCCGCCTGTCTTCAAGGCGCGCTATGTGGCTAGAGGCTTCAGTCAGCGCGAGGGGGTGGACTTCTTCCAGACTTTCGCTCCGACCCCGAAGATGACTACTCTTCGGGTTCTGTTACACCTAGCTGCTCAGCTTGACTACGAGCTTCACTCCCTCGACTTCTCCACTGCCTTCCTTCAGGGCAGTCTACACGAGCAGGTCTACCTGCGTCGCCCTCCGGGCTTTACTGGCACCTTCCCTCCTGGGTGGCTCCTGCGGCGCCCCGTCTACGGCCTGCGCCAGGCTCCCCGTGAGTGGCACGACACTCTCCGTGCTATCCTTGCTGACCTGCAGTTCTTTCCGTCTTCCGCAGACCCTTCACTCTTCGTTCGTGCTGGCCAGACTCCGTTCTACATCCTTGTTTACGTCGACGACCTGGTCTTTGCCACGGCAGACAGGGACGCACTGGCCTCCGTGAAGGCAGAGCTGCTGAAGAGACACACCTGCACTGACCTTGGAGAACTGCGCCGTTACCTTGGCTTGCAGATCTCCAGGGACAGAGCTGCGCGCACCATCACCCTGACTCAGTCACACTTGGTGCGCCAGGTCCTTCAGAGGTTCAGCCTTCAGTTCTCCTCTGCACAGCCCACCCCTCTGCCTGTAGACCACAGACTCTCCGCTCCAGTACCTGAGGAGTTGGTAGAGCCCAGCGGCCCCTACGCAGAGCTGGTGGGTTGCCTCATGTACCTGATGACTTGCACTCGCCCAGATCTCGCATACCCTCTCAGCATCCTGGCGCGCTTTGTGGCCACAGGCAGACACCGACCGCAGCACTGGTCTGCCGCTAAGAGGGTTCTGCGTCATCTTGCTAGTACATCGGGCATGGGGTTAGTGCTTGGAGGACGCAGGCCAGTGGTCCTTACTGGACACACAGACGCTTCGTGGGCAGACGACGCTGAGACACTCAGGTCTACCCAGGGCTACTGCTTCAGCCTTGGCTCAGGTGCCGTCTCGTGGAGAGCTACTCGCTCCTCGTCTGTTGCGCAGTCCAGCTGTGAGGCTGAGATCTACGCTGGTGCCATGGCGGCACAGGAGCTCCGCTGGCTGACCTTCTTGCTCACTGACTTAGATGAGCGGCCGAGCTCTGCCCCGGTCCTGTTCGCTGACAACAGGGCCATGATCCTCCTGTGTCAGGAGCCTCGACTCGAGGGCAGAGCGAAGCACATTCAGTTGCGGTACTTCCTCCTGCGTGAGCTACAGCAGCGACGTCAGGCTCGCGTAGTACACTTGGCCTCAGGTGCCAACACAGCTGATATCTTTACGAAGGCGCTTGCGCCTAAAGATCATCAGCGGCACTGTGTACAGCTTGGTCTAGTTCCTGTTGCTTCTCACTTGCTAGGACCTTGACTTGTACTGTCCTTTATATGTATACTCAGACTGGACTTGTGTCCTCTCCCAGTGGCTGGACTAGTAGTGCCGCCCTGCTCTTGTTCTTGCCTTGTCTGTACTCCTTCTGACTGGTCTCTCAGACCCTTGTCTCAGAGGTTGGACTAGTAGTGCCGCCCTGAGCTGCTTGTTTAGGGGATTCCCCTATGCAGTCTAGGGGGTGTGTCAAACATGTGTATTTGTCATGTTTGTGTAGACTGGATAGGGTTACCGCTTAGAGGGTACAACACTTAGGTATATTTGTGTGTACTCTCATCTTTACCATTATTCAATTATTCTGATACATTGGTGGCGTATGGTAGACCTTCTGCACTTACTCGTGGCATAGCCACTAAGAACAGTAAGCTCTCGTCATGAAAACCAGTGGCATATTGTGCACAATCAAGCCTTGTATCTGCATGCTGCTTTCTTCGCCCTCATGCATTGCCCCACAGCATCCCATCTCGCCATGCCCTGCTGCTTGTACTGCGCATACACATCCTGCTTGATACACTGCTTCCACACACTATCACACCCTGCAGGCTTGTGGAGAGGGCAGTTGGCGAAGGGGTAGCGTGGGCCAGTGCCAAGACTAAAGCTGCAAAGGTTGGTGTTAAACCCGTGGGCGTTGCTGACCGCACACATGGTCTGGACAGGAAGAGGGGAAAAGGGGGGGAGGGGGGGTCGGTAATATTTGAGCTCCTTTGTGTTGAAAAACAGTCACACAGCCGGTACCAACAGCAAAGCTGCAAAGGTTGGAGTTGAAATTGTGGGCGTTGCTGACTGCACACATGGTCTGGGCAGGAAAGACATGTGAATGGAAGGGGGAAAAGGGGGAGAAATCGATATTAATGTAGTACTTACTGTCCATAGCTTTGTATATGAACCCTTGAGCGTTTCTACACCACACACGGTTTTTTAAGAGTCAAGAACCCAATCGAGTACAACAAGCCACTGCTCCAATCCAGAAATAATCGCCAACCGACTTGTGGAAACTGGATGCCGTTCACTCTGCCCGATGACGTCCCCTGGAGCTCATGATACTCAATTGAGAACACCACCTTGTTGTGGACGATAAACTCATTGCAGTAGTCGCACGTGTACTTGCCGCTGCACCACATGCCGCTGCTTTAGTCGCCCAAACACACACCGCTCTCGATGTACGTGTCACTGTACTGTACCACTCCCTCCCCACCTCTCCCAACCTCTCCCCACCACTCCAATAGCAGGAACATCACAAACTGACCTGTGGGAATTGGATGTCATTCACTGTTGATGCTGACGTCCCCCAGAGCTCCTTGTACTCAATCGAGAACACTGCCTTGTTGCGGACGATAAACTCGTTGGAGTAGTCGCAGGCATACTTGCCGCTGTACCACGCGTCATTGCTCCAGTCGCTGAAGTACACGCAGCTCTCGATGATCGCCCAGTCAAACAGGTCGGCCATGTAGGAGGGGGCGAGCGGGCCAGGGTTCTTGAGACCCACTGACATGCCGTACCTGATGGAGAGGGTGGTGGTGGGGTGGGGAGGGAGAGGTCGGGTGGGGAGGGAGAGGTCGGGTGGGGAGGGAGAGGTCGGGTGGGGAGGGAGAGGTCGGGTGGGGAGGGAGAGGTCGGGGCAGGGGATAGATGAGAGAGCGAGAATGGGTGAAATGCGCCAGTCGCTGAAGTACACGCAGCTCTCGATGTTCGCCCAGTCGAACCGGTCGGCCATGTAGGAGGGCACGAGAGGGCCGGGGTTCTTGAGACCCACTGACATGCCGTACCTGATAGAGAGAGGGAGCGGGGGGGGGAGAGGGGGGGGGGGAGGACGCATGTGAGCATAAGGGAGACAGCTAATGGGTACAGGGTTTTCAAGACCCACTGACATGCCGTACCTGATAGGGGGGGGGGGGGGGGGAGGGGGGAGGAGGGTGATTGGGGGTGGGAGGATGGGGCGTGGAGGGAGGCTTTGAGAATTTGGGGGGTTCAAGTTCTGTGCCATGAACGGGGGAGCGAGAGCCGGGTTCTTAAGACCCACTGACTGCCGTACCTGAAGAGGGGGAGGAGCGGGAATGGGGGAAATCGCTTCAGAATGGAGGAGTAGAAAGGGTGGAGGCCAGATAAAGAAGCCATGCAGGGAGCGAGGGGGCTGGGGTTCTGAAGTCCCACTGACATGCTGTGACTGAGCGCAGGGGGGAAGAGGGGGGGGGAGAAGGAGGGGGGGTGGAAGTGAGGGGTTCTGGGTTTAAACTTCCAGTGAGAAGAGAAAAGCGAGCTCAGATGGGGGGGGGGGGGGGGGGGAGAAGGGAAGGGGAGTGAGTAAGGAGACTCCAGGAAGAGCTGTGAAATCAAAGAGGCATCACGCACTTGGGCATACCCATAAAATTGTCACTGTCAACCACAGGCACCACTCACTTGTGAACAATGTTGGCGATCCATGAGTTTTACTTGAACTGGTCCTTGGCAGTGATGGTGAATCGGCTGATGGGTCGAGCCATGATGTTGTTGTCATACGCGTTCATGTTGTCAGGGTCGACCCCATCGCACCCCTTGCTCTTTGCCAACTGATACGCAAGACAGAAAGAGGAAAGTAGCCAAGGGAGGAAGGGTTGAGCCATGATGCTGTCAGGATTGGAAAAAGCATTCGTGTTGTCTCTGCCAGGGTCGACCCCATCGCACCCCTTGCTCTTTGCCAACTGATACGCAAGACAGAAAGAGGAAAATAGCCAAGGGAGGAAGGGTTGAGCCATGATGCTGTCAGGATTGGAAAAAGCATTCGTGTTGTCTCTGCCAGGGTCGACCCCATCGCACCCCTTGCTCTTTGCTAACTGATATGCAAGAGAGAAAGAGGAAAGTAGCCAAGGGGGAATGGGTTGAGCCACGATGCTGTCAGGATGGGAAAACGCATTCGTGTTGTCTCTGCCAGGGTAGACCCCATCGCACCCCTTTCTCTTTGCCAACTGACACACGAGAACGTATCGACAAATGAGGATGGTGTGATAGAATCCAGAAATTTCAGAAACCGAGTGCGGCTGGGCACGGTATGGCTCAGCCCAGCTGGGCACGGTATGGTTCAGCCCAGCTGGGCCTGGTATGGCTCAGCCCAGCTGGGCCCGGTATGGCTCAGCCCAGCTGGGCACGGTATGGCTCAGCCCAGCTGGGCACGGTATGGCTCAGCCCAGCTGGGCCCGGTATGGCTCAGCCCAACTGGGCCCGGTATGGCTCAGCCCAGCTGGGCCCGGTATGGCTCAGCCCAGCTGGGCCCGGAATGGCTCAGCCCAGCTGGGCCCGGTATGGCTCAGCCCAGCTGGGCACGGTATGGCTCAGCCCAGCTGGGCACGGTATGGCTCAGCCCAGCTGGGCACGGTATGGCTCAGCCCAGCTGGGCCCGGTATGGCTCAGCCCAGCTGGGCACGGTATGGCTCAGCCCAGCTGGGCACGGTATGGCTCAGCCCAGCTGGGCTCGGTATGGCTCAGCCCAGCTGGGCACGGTATGGCTCAGCCCAGCTGGGTACGGTATGGCTCAGCCCAGCTGGATACGGTTCAACAGTACAGTGCAGCAAGGCACAGCTCAGCATGCTCCAGCCAGCTCAGCCTGCTTCAGCCTACCATGGCACGGATCATCAGGCCTTATAATATTACATGAGGATTCTATTTTTGAGGCACCTCAAAAATAGACTCCTCACACAGGCGGCAATGGTCAGCGGGAGAAGGGATCGTTTACTTGTTTCTTGTTCTCCATAATCCCCTTCATATTTTTGAGGCGCCTCAAAAATATGAATCATAGCACGGCTCCTAATGTCCAGCCATCTCTCCCTTACGTTCCGTCCTCCTCATTACATGCAGTGAGCAGTCAGAGGGAGTGGGGACGCCTTACCGGGACTCGCTTCTCTATAATCCTCTTCACAATCAAACTCCTTATGCCCAGCCACTTCCCACTTGGTCACAAACCAGTTACTGATTCATTCATTCATCGTTCCAATCACAGGCCGTTAATAGAGTGGGGGGAAGTGGTGATTTCACATACCTGAACTCGCTTCTCCATAATCCTCTTCACAATAGGGCTCTTGATGTCCAGCCATCTCTCCCCAGGCCACACATGAGCAACTGATCGTTCCAATCACAGGCCGTTAATAGAGTGGCGGGGAGTGGTGATCTCACTTACCTGGACTCGCTTCTCCATGATCCTCTGCACTACAGGGCTCTTGATGTCGAGCCACCTCTCCCCTGGCCACACACTAGTAACTGATTCATTCATCGTTCCAATCACAGCCAAGTAATAGACAGGGGCGGCGGAGACGCCTTACCTGGACTCGCTTCTCCATGATCCTCTTCACTACAGGGCTCTTGATGTCCAGCCATCTCTCCCCGGGCCACACATCGGTGCACGCCTCGTTCTGATCACAGGGAGCAAACAGTTATCCAGAGGCAAGGATGTCCAGTGAGAATCCATATCCGCATCCGCAAGTCTAGCCGTAGAGCAAGCAATGCATGTCCCTCGGAATCAGTCGAGAATTCGCAATGACATTTTAACAGAAGAAAGGGTCGGAACTGGGTTATTATACCCTGCAAGTGAGTCCGCCAATAACGGATTTCGGGAACTGGTTGTAGTCGCTGCGGTAGTCCTCGGCAGTCCCGAAGCTGATGTAACACATCACCACCTTTCCCGCGTTGCGAAGTTTCGCGATGCTCTTCGCCGACAACGAAGAGTCAACGGTGTAGAGCTTCGCTGGGTGGCTCATGTCCAAAGCTAGAATACAATAGTAGGGGAATGGGAGAAATGAATCGATTGTAGGTGCGAATGGCGGTTAGGAGAACGTTGCGCGAGTGAGGGACGGCGACACTAATGGGTGACTATCATTGCAATGTTGGTCCATTATGAAGCCAATAGTGGAAAACGCAGTAATGTTAAAAGCGAGTTTTTTAGAAGCCGCTACGAAGCGCACAACCACTGTCAGTAGTACCAGAATCTGTGGCGTTTGATTGCCAAAAGTGTACTGGGCGACTCAACAGACGACTACGAAACGAAAATGATTATTAGTACCGTCGTCTGTTGCGCTCAGTTGCCAGAAGAACGTCGTTCCGGGTTTCGGCATGTACCACCCGCAAGCTCTCTCGAAATTGCAAGCTGAAAGCACGGCGAGGAGGACGAGGATGCTAGGATAGAAGCGGATTAAAGCCATGGCTGTCTCGAACCAACCGTATCAAGCTTCTCGGACAGAAATTATGAACTTGGTAATCGGGTTGCTTTCAATACACACCAATGCTAGATACGATGATATAAATAGATTCCCGCTTGTTCCGTTGCTAACGGAAGGAGTCGCGTAGGAGGAGCGCGGGCCATGTCCTCGTAGCTAACGTAACGTCCTGCCACGTGGCGGAGACAGGCGAGTTGTAAAGAGCTCACCAATCAGACTACCCTCGGCCTTGTGGTCTCCACGTCCTAAAAAACGAAGCAGCCAGCAGGAAATGGCTCCTAGGAGATCGTGCTTCCATTCCTCGTCCTTTCTTCGCGGCCAACGGATTTCATCTCAACCTTGCATCCAACGCAGCAAAGGAACGTGTGCGAGCGAGTCAGAGAGTAACCAACGATTTTCCCCACAGGCCATGTCACGTCTACAGCAGGGTCTCAAACACCCCGTGATGTCACATCTATGGCTGCAGTTTCCACTCCCCTGGAGATTGAAATTCGGCGACCAACAAATTTCTCCCCTCCCCTGATGAAAAGTGTGAGGATGGGGGGGAACGCAGATTATCCGATATTGAAACCTCGTTACAGTACGAAACGACAACATGGCGAGTTCGTGAGAATTTTGAGTACAGCAAACAGGGATCTGAAGGAATAATGTAATTTTCCTTGTATGCTGCAGTCGGCAGGCATGTTCGAGGACGTGGTTTTGGTACAACACGATGCTGGTGGTTCGCGGAACCGACGTGTAAACCTCTGCACCATTAGGAATCGTAATTCCCCGCTCTCAAACGTCTAGTTTGACACCCCCAACGGCTACTTCCAGTGGTCTCCGCATTTCAGCCGCAGCGACGAGGGGGAGAGGAGAGGACACCAGCGGGAATTGCAGCACCAGCACTGGGGGACAGGAAAACAGCAGCCGGCGCAGCAGCACAGCGGATGAGCAGCACCAGTAGCGCAGCATTCACTCTTCCCCCCACCCCCCGCCTCGCTCCCCCTTTCGCAGCACACCGCGTGAACAGTCAGTCACCTTCATTCTAGACTGGAATTCCTTTGGCCATTCCTCCACGCCTCACCAGCACTTGACAGAACAATGGCCAGGAACATGCTCAGTGAAGCGTTACTAGTGCAGCAACGCGCCTGGCCACGTGGCAAAAGGCTTGAAGAAAAGGATTGGCCACCGTTCGATGCGTAGCTTCGACGATCTCGCTCCCGCTGCGATTCGGAATGCGCGCATGCGAAAGCGTCGCACCTCACTCTCTTGCTGGATGGTTCGAATGCATATAAGGCAGCGACGGCCTTTTTGAGAATTCTCAAGAATGCATACAAGGCAGAGACGGCCCGTGACGGAAACACAGCTTCTCTTTCGTCGCCTCATTCGATACCATATCCGGAAATCACTGCGCACGACGGTAGTACCTCCTCAATACCGCCTAATTACCGCAACCCCGTCGCCATGTCTTTTATCGCGAGATGCTTTCGCGTCCTCGTCGCTCTCACATTCGTCGCCGTTTGCCTCGCCGGTAACGTAACGACCAACCTTGCCGGTAAGGTCACGAGCAACGGATGGTACATTCCCACGCCGGGAACGACCTTCTACTGGCAGATCTCCGACCCGAACCTCGGTACATCCCACAAGGAGAAGATCTTCGATGTTGACGGGTTCGGCGTATCGGTGAACACTATAACGTGGCTGAAATCGATGGGCAAGAAGGTCTTTTGTTACTTCAGCTTCGGGACTGCCGAGGACTACCGCAGCGATTATAAGGACTTCCCGAGGTCCACGCTCGGAGGACTAGGCTGCATGGTGAGAACGCTCAGGCTAGACGATAAATTCGTTTTTCTCAATAGAAAGAAGCTTGCATTTCCTCCCCTTTTTCACCAAGTCTCGATTCATGCACCAGCGAGTTCAGGAAACGCGTATACTCCAGTAGCCCGTTTGATTTACGGGACATTACGTTGTGCGCTAACCTGAATTCTCCTCCCGTCAATTCCGACTTTTATCCACAGAACGAGGATTGCTCGGAGACATGGCCTGGCGAACGGTGGCTGGATGTGAAGAGCTCTGCTGTGCGCCAAATACTGGAAAAGCGGATTCAGGTAGGCCCAGCTCTCTTGCCTTTGCTGCCAGTGTTAACAACATGAAGAAGAAGAAGAAAAGGTGACACGGGATTGTACGGGCCAGACTCGTGATACCATTGCTGCCTCGTCGAGAGTTACAGACTCGTTAGACCAGTGCTACGACTTTTGACTTGTCCAGTCACCAGCTTCCTCTGAACTGTAAAAAGCCGTGGCCTGCTTCCTGGCCTGCTCCCGTGTGTCGTCCATTGTCCATCCAACAGCTAGCCAAGAGGAAGGGGTGTGACGGCATAGAGCCCGACAATGTGATGGCATACTCCAGCAACATCATGGTCAAACCCATCAGCCGTTTTACGATCACTGCCAAGGACCAGTTCAACTTCAACACATGGATCGCGAATACAGTTCACAGGTGAGCTCGTCTGCTGTATTGATTCTCTTTTAAGCCCAACGATGGGATAACAAGGAATTTCCTGCTCTTTCAGCCCAACCAAAAGGGCACACATTTCGAGTACGGTTCAGCAAACGGCACACGCCGAGTGCATGAGTTATGCTATATGTGCACTGGGTGCACTCACACCAATAATGTGAATCCATTGTAATAGCTGAATCCGTTCTTTTTGTCAGGTACGGGCATGTCAGTGGGTACCAAGAACCTGTAGCCATTAGCTCCCTCCCTTGCACACATGCTTTCCCCTCCCATCCCCCCCTCCTCCTCTCTCTCTATCAGGTACGGCATGTCAGTGGGTCTCAAGAATCCCGGTGCTCTCGCTCCCTCCTACATGGCCAACCTGTTCGACTGGGCGCTCGTCGAGAGCTGCAATTATTTCTCGGATTGGAGCAGCGACCCGTGGTACAGCGGCAAGTACCAGTGCGACTACTCCAATGAGTTTATCATCCGCAACAAGGCGGTGTTCTCTGTGGAGTACAAGGAGCTCTGGGGGACATCACCGGGGACAGTGAACAGCATCCAATTCCCACAGGTCAGTTTGCGGTGCTCCTGGTGACGTATGGTGCAGCAGGCAATAGAGGATAAGGAGCTCTGGGGGACATCTTCGGCAAGAGTTAGCGGCATCCAGTTCCCACAGGTCAGTGTGATGTGCTCCAATGAGTTCATCCTTCACAACAAGGCCGTCATGTGGATCTCTTGGGGACTATGCCTGAAGTGAAGAAAGGAATTTAATTCCCTTAAGAATATTTCCTCCACCTTAGAGCCTAGGGTTTATGGACTAGAGCCCTACAGCTATTCTTCCCTTCCTTCACCCGCCTCCCAGCATGCCTTTCACTTTGTTGTGTCAATTCATGCAGCACCGGTCCATAGTCTGCTCTGCTCCAAGGTTGTCTGGTAGTAGATTGAGCTTGCTTGACTCACTTGGTGAACCTCCTTATGCGAATTCACATTGTCAATCTCCTTGCACAGGCACTGTGTGCAGATAATAATGCCCGCGGCTTCATGACCAGGCTCTACGACGCGGATCTGGGGGTTGGGCCCAGTTATTCGTTTGCCAACTGCATGCTGCACAAGCCTGCAGGGTGCAATGTATGGAAGGAGTGTATCAAGCTGCAGGTGTACAACCAGTACAAGCAGCAAGGCATGGCCAGATGGGATGCTGTAGGACAATGTGTGAGGGCTAGGAGAGCCGCTTGTAGATATGCTTAGGATTTAGGGCCTTCGCATGTTGTCATGAACAAAAACGAGCTTGCATTGGAGGATATCTTAGTAAGCCGATCCCGCATTCATAGTTGCACAACTATAACAGCCTACATGGAGCATATGCGAAGTGCGAGAATGAGAAAGGTAGGGGGTGTACTACGCTGTTTATCAATTACGATTTCTTTTGTGGTGTACACGACATCATGACAAATTGTCCACTTTTGAAGTCTACCACGTGGCACATGCCCCACCTCGGGAATGACTGGGCGAGATGGCTGGAGGGAAACTCCTCGACCTGGGGAACTCCGACCGTAAAACGGCAGCCTGGGAAATCGCGGAAGCGGCTGGTGTGTGTGGTGGTGGCTGGCTCGTGGTTCTGAGGGGGTCCGAAGTATAAAGTTGACGCCAGCTAAGCGTAGCTGATGTCAACTTACCCGCAAAGCTCGACGTCAAATGTGGATGTCAAACCAGATGCAAATCCCAACTTCGAACATGCTCACTCGTTCGTATGCCCAAAATGAATTATGGTAGAAAGTTTTCCGACGGGGCAAAAACTTTTTGGGGGCCACCACCATACTGAAAGTTACCACGTCACAAAAAAATCGTCCTATCCCCTCCCAATGACCAGCAGGAGATTCGTGAATTCGTTTTCGTTGGTTCAATGGGTGTCCTGCGGGTTCTCTGGCATAATTTTTGGATTGCCCGCTAAGCTGTTGAAACAAAATGGTGTGACATCAAGTTCGACTATTGGGTTTCGGGAGCCCTACTTCGGCCATCCCGGAAATCGGAACTGTAGCGTGTACAGTGGTGGTAACCCTCTTTCAACATCTGTGACGTCCCATCTGTGCTACTTCGGACACTCTCTCAGAAGTGGCAGTGGCAATAGACAAGAAGACAAGACAAGACAACTCAACCACTGCCACTTCCACTACATCTCCGCCACTCCGCTAGCACCTTTTTCTCCACCCTACACCACTGTCGGGTTCGTCTATTCGGTTCATGGGACGGTACGCCTTGCTTTCTTGGGTTGCGTCTGGACGCTCTGCCTAACCAGGTGGGTTACCGCAGCCGAGGCACCAGCAGTTCGAGTGGGAGAACGGCGGAGTTGGTTCTAGGCAGTTAGGACACAGCTGGTTCCGACGACAAGCAGGCATGCGATTGCGCTCACTGCATCGCACAGCACCGAGCAGACATTCGGTAGCGATGGCCGTTGTAAAAGCCCGACGGCTTGGTAATGTGGACTCCATTCACGCCTTGGGCGGACGGGCCCCTGCTGGAGGGCGGCGGCGATGAATGGATCGCTCGTTTGCACTTATCGATTCTCGACATTTCTGTTAGGCGGCTACCCTGTGTTGAGGCGTCTCAACTTCGTTCCTCAGTGCGACGCGGCTGGAGGCGAACTGTAATCTTGGCTTGAGACCGTGAATTGTCTCAGCTCGAGAGCAACTTCTAATGTGAAGAAGGCGATCAGTGCTATTCGCTGGCACGATGCCGGCCAAGGATCGCAAGGTGAGTCACTCTGCCGGCCAAAGATCCCAAGGTGAGTCACTCTGCCGGCCAAAGATGCTAAGGTGAGTCACACTGCCGGCCAAAGATCCCAAGGTGAGCCACTCTGCCGGCCAAAGATCGCAAGGTGAGCCACCTCTTGCCACCTCGCGAGTGAAGGCGATCGGGGTTCATCGCAGGCACGATGCCCGCCGAGCATACCGGACGTGAAACACGATAAACACCATGATCCGTTACGATTTCATTGCACTATCGCCTACAATACAAGGGCGTCGAAAGCCTCGTGAAATACTCGAATATGTTGAATGCTCGCCCGGGGCGGGATTTCACAGAGCACATTGGAGCCTACATCAGCGTATCCAGATTATTCCTTAGCTCCTTCTGCGAACTACATCAGAGCCTAGTCGTAACCCGTCTCGGATATTTCCCGTTTCTCCCTCTCCCCATCCCTCACACAACCTCCCGCCTCCGTTCTCCGCTCCCCCCTCCCCCCCCCCACCCCCCCGCTCCCCCCACACAGTCGTCTCTTCCCCCCAACTGGTCCGCGCGCCTCCTCCCGATCACAGCCTCCCCGGTTTCCACCGCCCACAGCCGCGTCCCGACAAGCAAGCCCGCCCAGAGGGCTTCCAGTGAGACTAGTCAACGCGCTCCACCTCCCCGCGCCCGCCAATTTTCCCCGCTTTCCGCCTCCCCCGCTAATGGGGGGAATGAAAACGCGCATGTATGGTTGCCGCTGCGGCTGGGGATGGGACCAGGTGGAATGGGCGGCATCTCTTGGCAGCACGTGACTCTGCACGTGGTGCAGGTGGCGGTGGGATGTGCCACTGGGATCGGACGGTCGTACATGCACGATCACGCGCACTGTAGACAAAGAAGAGCGTCAGCAGGGCGATTGCATCGTCCATCACCGTCATCCTCGTTACAAGCATCAGCATCATCCTCGTTACTAGAATCTTCAGCATCATCATCAGTGTCGGGGTCAGCCGTCGCGAGGCTGCTGCAGACAGGAAACGCTGCGGCGCTGCTTCTGCTCTGCCAGGTATTGCTTCCTGCTAATGGTCTTGATTCACTTGACTGTGAGCCCGCCACGTGTTCTTTTTCTAAACCCTCAAAAATCAACTTCTGCTTCGCCAGGTGAATATTCCTGCTAATGGTGTTGATCGGCTTGACTGTGCACCCGCCACGTGTTCTGTGGGGTCTAGGCACGTTCCACAGAGCCAGTTCTTAAATTGCTGGCTCTCATGTGCTCAGTTTGTACCATATCCTACCATATCCGACCATATCGTACCATATCGTACCATATCCTACCATATCCTACCATATCGTACCATATCCTACCATATCCTACCATATCGTACCATATCGTACAGGCACACCATGGCCTACACCTCAAATCTCAGGCATCTCTCTAGTAAACTTGATGCAGTGGTTTGCATCGTCACGTACAGCCTCTTACTTTCTCCAATCATGCCCCTCAACCCCTCCCTTCCCCTCCCCCCTTCCCGTTCTCACACCTGCTCTCCTCCCTCCCTCCTCTCTCCCCCCCCCCCCCCCACCCCACTCCCCTTCCCCTACAGGCCCTCTTTCCCACTTCCTTCTCTCTCGCAACACCCACTCTCGCTCTCCTCCACCTCCTCTCCTCCTCGCGCCTCCTCTCCCCCCTCTCCCGCATCCTTTCCCCCCTCTCCCGCGTCCTCGCCCCCCTCTCCCGCCTCCTGTCTCTCTGCCCCCTGTTGCGCCCGCGCCTGGGCAGCAGCAGAGGTGGGCGGAAGGGGGAAGGCAGCCTGTGCGGGGGAGGGGGAGGGATGAGGGAAGTCGATGAGGGTGATGAAGGGGATGGGGGGAATGGGGGGGATGGGGGGGATGGGGGGAATGGGTTGTGGGCTGGAGACGAATCGGACATCAATGGGGAGGGTGAAGCATATGGTGATGATGGCGATAATGATTATTATGATGATAATGGAGAAGATATTGATGATTATAATGATGCGGCCAGTGTACCATCTGGCTTTTTAAATGAGCTGGCTGATGCTGACGTGGCGCATGGGTGGGGAAGGCACCTGCGCCAGGTGCACCTGCATGCGCCAGGACAGGCGGAGGGGGAAGGCTGGGGGGGGAGGGGAGGAGGCAGAGGCGTCTTTGGGAGGGCAGCAGTGGCGGTGACATTGGGTGGGGCAATCATTAAGAAAGTGGCGCCAAGATTACATGTGAGTTGATTGTATTGGCATGGCACCATTGGTGGCAGCAGTGGTGGCAGCAGTGGGGGGGCAAATCTTCAAGAGAATGGCGCCTAGATTACATGCGAGTTGATTTTATTGGCATGGCAGCATTGGTGGCAGCATTGGTGGCAGCATTGGTGGCAGCAGTGGGGGGCCAAATCCTCAAGAGAATGGCACCTAGATTACATGTGATTGGACGCGTTGTAAGTTTCCTTAAAGCAGACTGCGCGTGCTAGGCCAGGAAGGAGGCTTCATAGTCTGCTGCTGCTGCTGCTGCTGCTGCTGCTGCTGCTGCTTGCACTGAAGTGGGAAAATTCGCGTTTCACGTAAATTCGCTGACGAATTTACGCTGGCGTAAATTCGCCGAACGCCAGGGCCCTGTTTTAAATTCGTTAGGAAATTCGTTCCGCCCGGGCAGGAAGAAAAAACCCGGGCAGGCCCAAAAAAAATTCCCAGGTAGGGGGGGCATGGGGGGTTTCAGGGCAACTCTTTCAAACAAGAAAAAATTAGCACAAAATATATATTGCTTCTCAAAGTTTATGGCAATAGCATGTTTGGGAGTTTGGATAGCATCCCACACCGCCCAGTTGCGCTCGCAGGAGGCAGCCGACACAGGCTGTGTCAGCACACGGTGCGCAATTGCCGTGAGCAAGGGGTGGTTGGTGCCGTGAGCAAGGGGTGGTCGGTGCCGTGAGCAAGGGGTGGTCGGTGCCGTGCCACCGCCACCATGCCTTCATGGTGTGCGTGCCCTCCTTGACCAACTGCCGGTCAGTAATGGCCTCCTTCTTGCCAAAGCTCCCCCTTAACTCCAAGTAATCCGCCAGCCCCTCCTGTATGACAAGGGGTGCACGCTTGGGCGGTCCCCTCTTCTGAGGGACCATGACCCCCTCGTAGTGGCGCTGCACAAAATCCTTGAACACGTTCGTGCACTCCACGTCGAGGCCGAATATGTCCGCTGACTGGTTGATCGGATTAAGAATCCGACCAACCACATGCAGCGGGCAGGCCAGGCTCCCATCCCAACGTGCTGTCACGATCTCATTAATAGCACTCTTAGCCGTCGACGTCAGCACCTCGTGGGTCTCCTTCTTCAGCAACGCCTCCATTTGCTCTGTAAGCAGCAGCATCTTGTCATACAGGCTTCCCATCATCCCCTTCTTCTCTGTGTCTGTCGCCCGCATGACATTGAATGGGAGCTCCAGCACCCTAGTGAAGAGCTCCGCCTTGGGCCACCACTCATTCTTCTCATCCAAGATCTGCTTCTTGAACGCATCCGCTGCTGCCTTCCTCGGCCCCCCCACCCAATTCTTCTTCCACAGCTCACTCACCACCATTCTCTCCAAGATCTCGTGCACGGCAACAAGGGGGGACACAACAATGTACCGTGTCCCGAAGCGAGTCCCTGCCGGCCTCAGCACCTGTAGCCCCTTTCCCCCCGCGACGTCGGGATTTTCAACGTACTGGCGTGTCCAGTGGTGGCTGCGCATGTACGTGATAATATCGCTCGCCTCCTTCACCACGCCAGCGGCCCAAGGGAGCTTCCCCACGTCCTCCATCAGCAGATCGAGCAGGTGCGTGGCGCAAGGCACGTGCTCGATCTTGGGGAACTCCTGAATCAGAAGTTTGCAGGCGCTATAGTAGTTGCTGCCGCCGTCAGTGCAGAAGGCAACGACGTTCGCGGCGCCCAGCTTCTCCACGATCGGCCGCAGGAAGCCGGCAATGTAGCCGCCTGTTTTTTTCTCCATCTTGCAGTCGACGCTCTCGGCGAAGACGGCGCCGCTGTCATTGACGAGCATTATCTTCGCCTGCGGGCGGCCGCGCTGGTCAGTCATCATGTCGCTCGCAATGGTGACGCCAGTGGCACTCCAGCTGGCATAGCCATTACCCGCCCTCGCAATGCTCCGCACGGCATTGCGCCAAAGCGGATGATCGGCATGGCGCTCGGGGAGGCGGAGGCCGGCGAACAAGAGGCAGATGGCTTCATCCGCTCCCTTCTTCGCCAGCACGCTCCCGCTCATATACTCGCCAATGCGCCCGCGCTTGCTGCTGGCGCTGGCGCCGTTGACCGCCTCAAGGGCATCCGTATCAGCGCGATCCTGAGCGGCACGGGAGTCCACCTTGGCCTCCTGGAAAGCGCGCACGGCTGCGCGCGCATCTGTAGGGGCTTCAATGCATTTGCGCACTCCACGCTTGCCCATGCCCTCCCAATCCGTTAGGTGCTGAGCGCAACGAGATGCGGTGCCCATGAAGTCCGCTCCGCAGTGCTTGCACCAGTAGCGCTGCACCCTACCCATTTCCTTGCTCTTAAACTTAAAATGCTGAAAGATTACGTGCTTATCATCTCCAATGAAATGGGTGGACGAAGAGGCCTCACCTGACGCATCGACTGTCGCGTCCCCACTAGGGCCCTGATCTGGAAGGTCCGACATCGCTTCTTGGATTCTTGTGAGGTAAGCTCACATCTGCGCGTAAACTAGATCTACTAGCGCGGAGAGTGATTACCTAGATCTACTACGTCTGGTAGAGTAGCGTGTGAGATGCGTGCGTGATATGGTTGCGTAAGTTGGGTGGTGGATTGGTTGGGATCTCTAGATGCGGGGGGGTTTGATGCGGTTGGGAGCGTGGGAGGGGTTGGGTGCATGTTAGAAGGTTCAAAAGTTAGAATCGCGAATTGGCAAGGCCACGGATGGCATCGCCAAGTCGTCGCGAATCGAGTGGAAAATTTTGTGTTTTTTTGTCCGGGCTGCCCCGAAAATTTGTCCCCAGCGTTTCGCGAATTTACGCTTACGAATTTACGCAAAACGCTGGGGGACCCCAACGAATTTGCCCACTTAGGAACCCTTCCCGTCAACAATCTGGGTTGCCCCTTTTACCCCTTGCAGCACACTCTGGTCTGCCTGCCCGGGCACATCCCTCCCAATGGCTGTGGAGTGCGAGCAAGTGCGAGTGCAGGTGGTCGGGATGACGATCTGGTGATCCTCTTCCCATCAACACTCCCTCCTCCCCCTCTCCCACCCCCCTCTTCCCCCTCCCCCACCCCCCTCTTCCCCCTCCCCCACCCCACCCCCCTCTTCCCCCTCCCCCACCCCACCCCCCTCTTCCCCCTCCCCCACCCCACCCCCCTCTTCCCCCTCCCCCACCCCACCCCCCTCTCCCCCCTCTCCCACCCCCCTCTTCCCCCTCCCCCACCCCCCTCTTCCCCCTCCCCCACCCCCCTCTTCCCCCTCCCCCACCCCCCTCTCCCCCCTCTCCCACCCCCCTCTTCCCCCTCCCCCACCCCCTCTTCCCCCTCCCCCAACCCACCCCCCTCTTCCCCCTCCCCCACCCCACCCCCCTCTCCCCCCTCTCCCACCCCCCTCTTCCCCCTCCCCCACCCCCCTCTTCCCCCTCCCCCACCCCCCTCTTCCCCCTCTCCCACCCCCCTCTTCCCCCTCCCCCACCTCTCCCCCCTCTCCCACCCCCCTCTTCCCCCTCCCCCAGCCCCTCTTCCGCCTCCCCCACCCCACCCCCCTCTTCCCCCTCTCCTTCCCACCCTTGCAGCCCACTCTGGTGTGCCTGGGCGTGTCCCTCCCAATAGCAGTGGAGTATGAGCGGGTGCAGGTGCAGGTGGTATGGATGCCGATTCCGGACTCCCCTTCCCATCTAGCATGCCTCCCTCTCTGCCACACCCCCCGCTCCCTCCTCTCCCCCCTTGCAGCACACTCTGGTCTGCCTGGGCGCGTCTCTCCCAATAGCAGTGGAGTACGAGCGGGTGCGAGTACGGGTGGGGAAGGCGCCGGCAGGGGCGTGCGGGAGGGAGGGGGAGGAGGCGTGGAGGAGGGCGCACAGGAGGGCAGCCAGCCGAGTGGCGAAGCTGATCAAGACGTACCACGAGTGAGTGGTAATATGGATCTTTTGTGTGTCGAGAGTGCATGGCTTTTGTGGGAGGGAGGGAGGGAGGGGGGAGAGAGGGGGAGGCGGCATGGAGGATGGCGCACAGGAGAGCAGCGAGCCGAGTGGCGAAGCTGATCAAGACGTATCACAAGTGAGTGGTGATATGGATCTTTTGTGTGTCAAGTCAAGCGTGCATTGTGTTTGCGGGAGGGAGAGTGAGGCGGCATGGAGGAGCGCGCACGGGCGAGCTGCGAGAGGAGTGGTCAACCTGATAAAGACGTAGCACGAGAGAGAGAGAGAGAGTGGCGGTTATGGGCTCATCATATGTGGTGCGACTTGTTATGGGAGTGAAGTGATCGGGGGCGGTGGTGCGACATGTTATGGGAGAAGCTGGACATATAACGTGTGACGTGGCAGTGCGGTGCGGACAGCATATCAGGAGAGCTATTCACACGTGAAGTGAAGAAAAACGCATTAATGTGTCACTCTTATTCTTCCCTCGCCTCACTCGCATCCCCCATTCTCTCCTGTTGCCACGTGGCAGCATTCCACAGGCTGGTGGCCTCTTGGACCTGACAGAGGCCGCCACTCTGCTCCACTACAGGACGAACAGCGCCGCCCCATACATCATGCCAGCTCCAGACCTCCCTCCTTCCCTGGTAGCAGCAGCAGTGGCAGGACCAGCCTTACCCTTACTCTCTCCCTTCCTCCCATCACCACACCCCTGGCCTTCCTCCTACAATCTTGTCACCTTCTCCCTTCCTCTCTCCTCTCCCTCTCCCTCTCACCAAGTGGAATCGAAGGGGGTGGAGAAAGGGGTGGTTGGGAAGGTAGTGGGGCCGGGAGAGAGAGAGATTGAGGAGGAGAAATCGGAGAAGGGGGAATTCATGAGCAATAGCAACAATGGCAGCAACGGCAGCATCAGCATCAGCAGCAGCAGCAGTTGGGCCAGCAGTAGCGACTTGATCATCAATGACAGCAGCACTTGGACGGATTCTGACACCAGCAGCCCTAGAAGCAGCAGCAGCAGCAGCAGCAGCCCCATCAGCAGCAGCAGCCGCACGAGCAGCCTAGGTGCAAGCAAGGGAAGCAACTACAACCTGAGCAGCAGCAGCAGCAGCAGCAGCAGGAGCACGAGCAACAGTGCCATTCCTTTAGCACGACAGTGCTTCCAATGTCAGGGCTTGCCGGACCCTGTTCCCTTACCGAGTGTGACTTTAGAAGGAGGGGATCGCTCAAATGCGATTCTGCACCCTAGCAGCGACAACCACTATCAACCCCACCCAGGACACCTGGCGCACTCTGATTGGCCGCTATCTCGCTGGCAGGTGGCCCTCTCTCTCCTCCTCCGCGCTCTCTTCCTCGCTCTCATCTTCTCCCCCCTGCTGCTCCTCGGCCCCCTCCTGCTGCTACTCCACCACCTACTGCCAGACGCACCAGCAGGCAAGGCACAAGGGAACGGAGGACAAAAGCCAGCAAGAGAAGCTCCCTCAAACGAGGACTCTTCAGAATTAGCCGTCTCAGACGAGCCTGCTCCGGCAGGGGAACCTTCCCTGAAGCAGCGGTGCCGGGACGCCATCCATCAACTCCTGCTATTCGCCCTGCGGCGCGGCGGCGCCGCCTTCATCAAATGGGGCCAGTGGGCGTCCACTAGAGAAGACCTCCTCCCGCCCTCCCTCTGCCTCGTCCTGGGCGCCCTGCAAGACCAGGCCCCCACCCACTCCTTCGCCCACACGCGCCGCGCCGTGCAAAAGTACCTCGGGTGCCGGCTAGAGGAGCTGTTTACAGAGTTTGAAAGGGAGCCGCTGGCGTCGGGGAGCATAGCGCAGGTGCACAGGGCGCGGGTGAGGGGAGCGTGCAGGCATGTGCCGGAGTGGGTGGTGGTGAAGGTGCGGCACCCCCGCGTGGGACTGAGGATCAAGCAGGACTTTGAAGTGATGGCGGGTGTGGCGGCGGTGGTGGACTGTGTGCCGGGGCTCAAGTGGATCAGACTGCAGGACAGCCTGGAGCAGTTCAGCCACACGATGAGGGAGCAGGTGAGAACAAGATGAGGGTGAGAGGCATGAGTGAGGCTGAGGATCCTCAGAACCCGCTTTGAGGATCAAGCAGGGTTTTGAGGTGATGGCCGGTGTGGCGGCGGTGGTGGACTGGGTTCCGGGGCTCAAGTGGATTCGGCTACCCTGGAGCAGTTCAGCCACACGATGCGAGAACAGGTATGGCTGCAGTTTATGCACAATATGTTCCCCGGACTCTCAAGTGAACATGACGACAGGAGGTGAGTTGTTCTAGCTTCACATTGATTTCTACCCAGTGATATGATAAGCCGGTGATTTTATAAGCCAGTGGCAGCCAAATCTTGCCACACCTGGATCCCCTTGCGTCCCAAGGGGTGAGTATCTCTCCCTCTTCCCCCCTTCTCTCCCCAGGCGGACCTGAGGTTGGAGGCCTACCATGCTCACCGCCTGTACCTCGACCTCTACCCAGTGGTACTATAACCCCTCATCTCCACCCCCCTCCCCGCCCCCTCCGCTTCCCCGCTCCCCCTTGCCTCCCTCTCCTTCTCCTCTCCCCAGGCGGACCTGAGGGTGGAGGCCTACCACGCCCACCGCCTGTACCTTGACTTCTACCCGGTGCGAGAGCGGGTGGTGATAGCACAGGTGCTGCCGCACTTAGTCTCCGAGGGGGTGATTGTGGAGAGCTTTGAGCGCGGGGAGGCACTGCACCGCTTCCTGCACTCAAACAACTCGCTTAATACACAGGTGGGCGGGTGGGTCGATGTAGTGGTCTTTGCTGCACTGGTAAGTGTGCTTTGGCCCGCGGGAGGCACGTTTTGAGAGCGGGGAGGCACTGCACCGCTTGCTGCACTCCAACAACGAGCTCAACACAGGGGTGGGTGTGATGCCATGACCTTTGCCCATGCACAGATTAGTGGGGCATGTATGCAGTGCGAGAGAGGGTGGTGAGGGCACAGGTCTAACCACTCTTAGTCTCTGAGGGGGTGATTGCGGAGAGCTTTGAGCGTGGGGAAGTGCTGCACCGACTCCTGCACTCCAACAACTCGCTTAATACACAGGTGCTTGGGACCTCTTCGAGCAGTGCGAGAGAGGTTGATGATAGCCTACCTGCCGCGGCACCTGGTCACTGAGAGGGCGCTTGTGAAGAGCGCCTAAATATGCTGCTGCAGAACAACCACATGCACCTGGACCGGCACCCTTCTCACCCCCCTTCAACCCTTCTTAACCGCTTAACCCCATGCTCTACCCCCCTGCAGATAGCAGCAGTGGCTGTAGGAGTCTACCTGAAGATGCTGCTACAGGACAACCACATCCACCTGGACCTGCACCGCTCTCAACACCTTCCTATCCCCCGTCTCTCCCCTCCCTCCCTCTCAACTGGCCCAACGTGGCAGATAGCAGCAGTAGGCGTAGACGCGTATCTGAAGATGCTCCTGCAGGCACGACAACCACATTCACCTGGACCTGCATCCCTCTCAACCCCTCCTAACCTATTCCCCCCGTCCTCTCCCTGTCCTCCTCCATATCAGATAGCAGCAGTGGGTGTAGACGCCTGCCTGAAGATGCTGCTACAGGACAACCACATCCACCTGGACCTGCACCCCTCTCAACCATTCTTAACCCGTCAACCCCACTCTCCACCCCCTGCAGATAGCAGCAGTGGGTGTAGACGCCTACCTGAAGATGCTCCTGCAGGACAACCACATCCACCTGGACTTGCACCCGGGGAACATCCTGGCCCGCATGGCGGCAGCTCCAAGTGCAGGAGCCGTAGGGGAGGGGGGGCTACAGCTGGGCCGGCTGCAGCAAGAGGGGCTACAGGCGGGGGCAGTACAGCAAGTGGGGCAACTCCAGGAGAGTGCGCTACAGCAAGAGAGGCAGCAGCAACAGCAGGGGAGTGCGGTGCAGCAGGGTGGGCAACAGGGGAGTGCGGTGCAGCTGGTGATTCTGGACTACGGGTTGATGGAGGACCTGACAGCCCATGTGCGCACCAACTTCCTCTGCTTCATCGCCTCCATCATGTCCTCAAATGCCAAACAAGCGGTGAGTTCATTTCTGTCAACAACGGTAGAGTGCGGTACAGCAGGGTACAGCAGGGTACAGCCCATGTGCGTACTAACTTCCTCTGCTTCATTGCCTCCATCATGTCATCCAACGCCCAACAAGCGGTGAGTCTGTGGCTCTTGGCTACAGCAACGGAGTGCGGTACAGCAGGGTAGAGCAATTTACTGCCCATGTGCGCACCAACCTTCTCTGCGCTAACTTCATCGCTTCCAATGTGTCCTCCAATGCACCACAAGCGGTCTCTACTCTCCCACCTTCTCTCTCATTTGGTCCTTGTACCACAAGCACAAGTGGTCTCTACTGTCCTTGTAGATAATGAACGCTGGGCACAGAAGGGATATGGTATTCTAAAGCTTCCTTGCTTCCCCCTTCCAATTGCACTTTCTTTTTATACTCCCTCTCTCCCCTCGCTTTCTCGTCCCTCCTCCCTCTCTCTCTCTCTCTCTCTCTCACTCTCTCTCTCTCTCTCTCTCTCTCTCTCTCTCTCTCTCTCTCTCTCACACACACACACACACACACACACACACACACACACACACACACACACACACCTTTTCTCTCTTCTCCCCACCTTCCCCATCATTCTTAATTCACACCTCCTATTTCCACCGTCTCATATCCCCACCTCCATAAACAGACCCACTACTTGCTCCGGTTTGCAGCACCGTTCCCCCAGCGCTGCACCAACCGGGATGCACTAGAGGCTGACATGCGGGAGCTCTTTGCCCGAGACTGCCAGCTACACCGCCAGTGCATGGACCTTAATGATGTGCTTAAAAAGGTGGGAATCTAGTCTTGTAACTTGGTAATTCGATTTAAAAAGTCATGCCCTGACCCTGACGTGCATTCAGTACTTCACATCGAGTACAAATGATTCAGGTTGAATTGTGTTTCTCGTGTGCAGGTTCTCCGCATATGCTGGGTACACCACGTCACCGTTCATTCCTCCTACGCCTCTCTCCTCATCGCCATGTGCATTCTAGTTGGCTTCGGCCAGACGCTCGATCCTGAATTGTCCATCCTAGATGCAGCTGCTCCCTGTTTCTTCCTCTACAATCTCACTGGAAGAATCATAGGAAGAATATACGGCTAGATATATTATTATTTGAATCCCTGAAAGCTCCACCAGGTATGGAGCTTTCGTTACAATATGGTTTGCTCCTTATGTTTGAAATATTTGCAACGAATATTTTATGGTTTGATGTATGTTTCTTCGTTTTAGTATCGAGGTTCTTCCTAGAGCAAACATTCAGGGTCCACTTCTGAACTCAGCAACCTCCCGGCTGACATCAGCAACACATCAGAGCTCCTCAACCACACCTCACTGGCATCGTCTGCCAATCGGCTGCCTCCACGCCAGCGGAACCTCGACGAATCCGTTTCTTGGTGCTTTCTCTGAGGGACCACTTGACCCCAACCCTCCTTCCTTCCGAACCAATCATGCCATCTTGCCCTTTTGAAACCTGCCGAGCTTCGACTTTCCCGCCATTCACCAAATTCCCGTCAAATTCTTGTTATCCCTACGTCAGAATCTGCTGTAGTACATAGCACGAGCCTTTTTTCGGTATGACTCGGTAACCGTCACAGCGTTTTTTCGTGAGCGTTTCGCGGAACGATAGTCTCCTAACGGTAGCTCGCAGGCCATGGCAGATTGAGCAAAACTAGCTCGATTCGCACGTAGTAGCGAGTTCACGTCGTTGTTGTCACGTGTGATTCTAGGAACCCGTTAACTTCCCAGCATGTCGTAGAGGCGTTCGCGACACCGCCATGTTTCCGACGTCGACGATGCAAGCCGGCTCGGGCCGAGCCTCGGGATCATCGCCGTCGCTAAGTGCGTCTGCTAGTGGTGGCGATGGAGACTCGGACGTGTTGGATCACCGGCAGCTGCTGGGGCTGCTGCTGTTCGAGCGCAGGCGCGCGCATCCAGGCGGAGGATCTTTCGCTGATTCCCCCGCACAGGCGGAGGGTTCCGCGGAAGGGGATGCAGGAGGCGCGGGCGGGCCTGGACCATGGAGGCTGGTGCCGATTGCCAAGGAATTGGTATGAGAGTGGGGGGGTGGATATGGTGCCGATTGCCAAGGAATTGGTATGGGAGTGGGTGAGATTTTCCGGTTCAGGAAGCTTTCTTTCCCCTCCTCGCTCGCTCCCCTCTCCGCCCATGTCCTCCCCGTTCCATCCTCACCAAGCTAACGTTGTACCACTCTCCACCTCCCTGCACCTCCCTGCACCTCCCTGCACCTCGTACTCTCCCCTCAACCCGCCTTTCCTCTTGCCCCCAGTCGTTGGGTCATTCATCGCTATGCGGGCAACTCAGGAGCGAAGGGAGCCTCAATTATGGTTGGCTTGCCGCACATCTTCCCCCCCACTGCCCCCTCCAACCTCCCTTCCCCTCCCCCTCCCCCCAGTCCTTGGACGCGGGGCATTTCATTGCAGTGCGGGCAATCCAGGAGCTGAGGGAGCGCAACCGGGGCCAAGGGGGGGAACGGCCGCTGCTGGTGGGGATTGGCGGGCCCTCTGGGTCTGGCAAGTCAAGGTGTGTTCCGCCGGCGCATGGCTAGCATGGCCAGCATGGCTAGCATGGCTAGCATGGCTAGCATGGCTAGCAATGGTCTAGCTTGGCACAGCATGACGTCCAATTCTTCCCTGTGGCATGGGGAATGGCAACCGGAGCCATGGGGGGGAGCGGCCACTGCTGGTGGGGATTGGCGGGCCCTCGGGGTCAGGCAAGTCAAGGTGTGTCCACTGGGCCATGGCTGGGCATGGCTTAGCATGGCATGGCATGGCATAGCATGGTATGGCATGGTTTAGCATGGTATGGCATGGTTTAGCATGGTATGGCATGGTTTAGCATGGTATGGCATGGTTTAGCATGGTATGGCATTGTTTAGCATGGTATGGCATGATTTAGCATGGTATGGCATGGTTTAGCATGGTATGGCATGATTTAGCATGGTATGGAATGGTTTAGCATGGTATGGCGCGGAGTCTGACAGCTACTGTGTGGCATCAGTGATTGGCATTGGCATTGGAATCGCTGGGCCTTCTGGGTCTGGTGGTCAAGGTATGTACGATGGGTTATGACACAGCACCGCATGGTGCCATGGCGTGGCATAACATGGTGTGGTGTGGCATCTGTAGCTTAAAGCACGTCCTGTACCAGATTGGCGTGCTCACATACGTTCTTGCCCTCTCTGTGTAATGAGTCGAATTTTGAGTCGACTCATTACGCACTCTCTTCTTCTCCCCCACCGTGCCCTCTCTCCCTCGTGCTCTCCCAGCTTGTCCTGCCGAGTCGAGGGCATGCTAGAGGGCACAGTGATAGAGCAGGTTAACTACATGGATGCATAAGCGTCATCCATTTTCATTCCTCGCTCCCCTATCCCCTCTTCCCTCTTCCCCCCCTTTTCCCTCACCCCCTTCCCTCCCCACACCCCTCATGGATGCGGAAACGACGCTCATTTTCTTTCCTCACTCCCCGCTCCCACATTCCCTCTTCCCCTTTCTTCCCTCACCCATTCAGTCTGGCCCACCGAATTGCCAGCATGCTGGAGGGCACAGTGATAGAGCAGGTCAACTACATGGATGCAGCACGGGTGTCGGGCGACATGCATGACGTGGATGCGCTCGACATGGAGCTGCTTTATCGCCACATGCAGGTGCGTGCATGCATGTGCATGCTTGCATGCATATATGGATGGATGCAGCGAGGGCGACAGGCGACATGCATGACGTGGACGCGTTCGACATGGAGCTGCTTCACCGCCACATGCAAGTGATCAATGGGTAGATGCAAGCATACATAGACGGATGGATGCCTGATGATGTGGACGCGATTGCTATGGAGCTATTGCACTGCCACATGCAGGTATGTAGGTACATGGGTGCATGGATGTGGGCATGCATGCACTGCTGGCGTCAGGCGACATGCACGATGTGGATGCGCTCGATATGGCGCTGCTCCCCCGCCACATGTAGGTGTGTGCATGATGTTGGCACGCTTAGATACCGTGGCTAGTTCTGTGGCTTTGTGTCCTTGAGAATTCTCAAAAACACCCTGAGAATTCTCAAAAACACCCTGTGGCTTTGTGTCCTTTTACCACCCTCATGCAGGCTCTACTGACAGCACGGCCCATCAACAGGCCTCTCTTTGGCGATCTTGCCTTTCTAGGGTCCTTAGCAAGCACTCCCCGTGTGTGCATCAGCAGACCCCCCGTGTGTGCATCAGCAGACCCCCCCGTGTGTGCATCAACCGACCCCCCGTGTGTGCGCTCACAACTCCGAACGCAGGACCTACTGGCGGGGCGGCCCGTCGAGATGCCGCTCTTTGACTCCGTTGACCGCCGCCGCTCAGGGTTCCGCCTCATCTCCCCGCCGCTTTCCGCCGTGGTGCGTCGATTCTTCTTTAGTTTTAAGGCACTTCAAAACTTGACTCTGTTGACCGCCGCCGTTCGAGGTTCCGCCTTATCTTCCCGTCACCTTCCGCTGTGGTGCGTTGAAAATTGATTCGAAGCCACAAGCAAAAGCAACAAGGGCGGTAAGGTGGTGCATCACATCCCGTCTTACCTCCTCAACTGGTGCTTCATTGGCATCTCTTGGTTGGTGCCTCACATATCCTGTCCGTTCTGAGACATTTGTTAGAATACTCCAGGTTCTTCTGAAGGGCGTATACTCCCTATATTCGTGCCTTGGACCGCTCCTGGACCTCGGGATTGCCATGGTGTGGGAAGGGGTGCCCTTTACACTCAGGCATTTGATTCGGATACCCTTCCTTTCTCCCTTTCCTCCCAGATCCTACTCAAAGGAGTCTATGCACTACACTCAGGCATTTGATTCGGATACCCTTCCTTTCTCCCTTTCCTCCCAGATCCTACTCAAAGGAGTCTACGCACTGCACTCCCGCCTGCGCCCCCTGCTGGACCTCGGGATTGCCGTGGTGGGCGGCGTGCACTACACGCTCCTGCAGCGGGTCAAGTCTGACGTGGCAGTGAGCGGGCTCCAGCTGTCACTGGCGTCCGTTATGCACTCTGTCTTTCCTGCCTTCCCGCTCCACATCGAGCCCACACTTGCACACGCTGAGGTCCGTCAGTCCTACTTGACCCCTGGGTAGGGATCTGGGGCCTGGCTGTGGGGATTTTAGGCACCTGTCACTCGCGTCTGTCGTGCGCTCTGTGTTCCACGCATTCCTGCCGCACTTCAGCCCACAGTCGCCATTCTTCTCCTGCCATCTCTCCCCGCCTGTTATGAGTCGATTTTTGAGTCGACTAAAAAATCCTCCCACCTCTCCCCGCCTGTTTCCGGGTTCGTATTCGCATCCGCAACAGTAAAAGGGCTTCATTGTTTCCTCATCCAGCCCTCCCTTCCGAACCCCCCTCCCTCACCAGATTCGCATTTTTGAGGCGCCTATTTTTGAGGCGCCTATTTTTGTGGCGCCTATTTTTGAGGCACCTATTTTTGAGGCACCTATTTTTGAGGCGCCTATTTTTGAGGCGCTTATTTTTGAGGAGCCTCAAAAATAGACTCCTCACGCATTTTTGAGGCGCCTCAGCAACAGTAAAAGGGCTTCATTTTTTCCTCATCCAGCCCTCCCTTCCGAACCCCCCTCCCTCACCAGATTCGCATCAGCAATAGCTTTGTGGCCGATTCCCTCCGCCACCCCTTCTACATTCTCAAGTCCGACCAGACTGTGAGTGAGCCGCACTCTCCTTCCTTTGACACGTTCACAAGGTTGCATAAAGTCTGTAGTAGGGCCAACTTGCTAATTTTGTTTCCCAATAAATGTTTTACTCAACAAATTTCTCCTCTTTTTTAAGCACTCGATCAAACCCCCTACTAAATGTCACAACCAGAATACCATTTCTCCTCCCCCCCCCCCTTCCCTCTCCCCCCTCCCCGGCCCCTCTCTCACATTCCCCCTCTTCATCCCACCCAGCCGCCTTTCCACACTGCTCCTTCCCAAGCAATAAGCAATATTTGCTGACTCATATCTGCGTGTAACTGCCGACGTGTCTTTCTTGCATGCCAGGTGGCAGAGGATAAGGTGAAGCAGGTGCTGGGATCAAATCGCACCACTCGCAACGAGTATCGGTGAGTATACATAATGGGAACTGAGTAGAGAACGAGTTAGAGTATCATGACTAGTGGCGGGTTACGAGAGGCGTAAGGGAGGTGCTGAGTCCGCTTAGAACTCCCTACTGTTTAGGTCTACATCACTCCCCACTTTTCTTGCGGTACTCCCTTTCACACTCCCTTGATTCTTCATGCTCCTTTCTATGCAAGCATCCCATGTTACTCAACCCCCCTCTCCGTTGCCTCTTACCCTCACCCCAAGTAGTCCCATGTACGTGAGCGTATATTTTATGACTTCAAAGTATATTTTTCTGTGTTTTATGGGTGTGTGTTGAGTCGGTGAAACCCCCGCCCCTTGCAGGTATGTGGACGTGTACTTGTCTCCGCCGCACAACCCCACACGCACGCGGGATTGGATCCGAGTGCGGCAGTGCGGCATCCGCTACTTCCTGTCCGTGGGGGACCAAAGGGTGGTGGACAAGAGCTTCATCATCCGCCCCCGTGCTGAGTTCGAGGTGGGCTTTCCACTTACGTCGAGATTCAAAATATGTCTCTTGTAAAGATACTTGTGAAAACCTTTCATCGTGGGTCGGCAATGCGCTGTGGACGGGACCGTTTACACAGCTATTCCTGCTTGGCGTCCGGGGGGTTACGAGCGCCCACCGAACCCTCGTCGCCGGACGTGCAGGCGTCGCCCAATATGTGGGCCACTGTCGCTGATCGGTGCGCTCCAGTCGGCCGTCGCTGATCGGGGCACCCCAGTCAGCCGTCGCTGGCTCGACTGACCCGTGCAGCTGCCCATTAGGGTGGGTGGAGCAAGCGGCGGCCGACCGGAGCGCCCCACCTGTCGGGCGACGCGGCGGTGACACATCTGGCAACGAGGGTTCGTTGAGCACTCGCGTCCTTCCGGACGCACAGCAGGAATAGCTGTGTAAACGGTCCCCCCTACGGCACATCCCGCTCACGAAACGAGTGCTCTGATTCCAGATTCGTTTACCATCCTCGGTGCAACGCCTTCAGGCCTTTTTCTTTTGCCCCATCCATCCTTTGTTTAAGCTCCGTGTGCTCCCCATCCTCCCCACCATATCCCTTCCTCCCGACCTCCAATCCCCCCTTCCACGCCCCAGCCTCCCTACCCCACCCCTCTCGGGTGCCCTCCACCTCCCTCCCTGAGCACATCCAGCTCTCAAACGCCGTAACTGTGAGCTCCTCAAGGGACTACGTGGTGGCATCCCCTCCCTCCTCCCTCCCTCCTCAACCCGCACACCCCCCTCACTTCCCTCCAGGTGCCCTCACCACTCTCCCCGGCCTCATCCAGTGCTCCTACGCCGTGGCTGTGAGCTTCTCAAGGGACTCCGTGCTTGCTGCTAGTCAGCATCTCGATAACCCTCTCCTTCCCACATTCGTCTCTCCCAATGCCCCTCTCAGGTGCGCTCCACCACCCTTCCAGGTTTAATGCAATCCTCCTACGTTGTGGTGGTGAGCTTCTCAGGAAAATCTGTGGTTCTCTCCCTTCCTCCCAACCCCCGCACCCCCCTCTCCTCCTCCCCAGGTGCCCTCCACCACCCTCCCAGGCTTGATTCAGTGCTCCTACGCTGTGGCAGTGAGCTTCTCAAGAGACTCGGTGGTTCTGACCAATGGCGACCTCTCAGTGTGCATCGACACCATACACCTGGGGGACGGGCAGAGCCGGACCTACACTCAGATCAAGGGGCCGGACAGACAGGTGAGTGCATGCGTTTGGGCCCAACTGATAGTCTGAGACAGGCTCCGTGGTGCCGTGCTCTCCAACAGCCACCTCACAATGTGCATCTGTTGGCATTGGTTCGCCAACCACTAGGGCGACCTAGGGGTGGCGAACATAATCGTGGGAGGAATTTCAGACGGCGGGAACGGAAGAAAAGTCAATTGAGAAAATAGCGGTGATGGAGGAAAATCGGTGGGAATTCAGAAGAAGTGCGGTGGTGCACTAGGGAACGGTGGCGAGAAGAGAGGGGAAGGAGTGGGAAGGAAGGTGTGAAGAAAGTGTGCATGTGGAGTTACTGGAGGATTTGCGGAAGAAAATGGGATTTCGGACGATGCGCGTTCAGTGGCACCGAACTTGGGGTCGGTGTCGGTGTTTAAACACGCTGACCGCGTTCCGATGTGATTGCGTGTGCGACTCGAAACGAAACGAGGCGTGCTTGTTACTCGAAGCGCCCTCGTTGGTTACGAGCCGCGAATTGGCATTCTGGTTGACTATAAAAGTGCTTGTCTGTTTGTTATTTCATAATACAATTGAGTTCTGAACCTTGCAGACGTGCGTAAACACGACTTCTAGCAAACCTGAGGATAGCGTTGGAATCGTGTCGACGAGGAGATTATCATAGAGCCCAATGCTTCTATATAATCCTAGTGTAAGGAGTCCTTGCAAGGCGAAATCACGTCGGCCGGAGGCGATCAGCGAGTTGGCGCATTGGAGTCCGAGCGCTCAGTGCAACTGCGTTCTGTAGCCGTAGGCGAGGAGTCCTTGCTACGAGCTAGCGGTAGGACGTCGGCATCAGTCACGAGCAAGGTTGGCTTGCTGTGAGCGCGTTTGACATTTCGTTGCCTGGGAGCTGTAGTTTCACGGGAAAACTTTAGCCGCCTTAGAACTGGTATCAGAGCAAGTGACGAACTTCTGGCGACATTGCTGCGCGATGGGCGCGTGCATTTAGTGCGCTAAGTGCATCGAGTGTGTGCAAGCGAAAGAGGTGTTATGCCGACGAGCAGCGAGGTGCAGTCGGGTTGCTCGACGAACATGGAAGACTCGCATGTGCAGGCTCTTCTTGCGAAGGGGCATTTGGTGGCGAAGCCGATGATTGGGTTGAGCGAAGCCCAACGCTTCAGTGGGAAGAATTACACTACGTGGCGACTGAAATTCATCCGACGGGCTGAAGAAGTCGGGCTGTGGTCGCTCTACCACCCTGACAAGACAACAAGGGAAGGCGTTTCTTCGACAATAACGGAGGAGCCGGAGAAAATCGCAGTGTACAAGAAGCGGAGTAAGCAGGCTTTCTTCCAACTGTGTCATTCAGTGGCGGACATCATTGCTGTGAGACTGGACGACTTCGCAGGGGAGTTGAACTCTGCGCAGCTGGCTTGGGAGTACATCGAGTCCACGTACATGGGAGTAACAGATGCTGACAGAGTAGCACTGAGGAAGCAGCTGCTACTGCTGAGCATGGGGAAGGATGAGCGCATCATCGAATACGTGAACAGGGTCAAGAGCTACAACGACAATTTGAGGGCGATGGGCGCAACAGAGTCGGAGAAGGAGATGATCGGCTATATCATCCAAGGACTTCCACAGGAATGGGAGTCGGACATCAGTATGTTCACCTACTCACCACCTGCAAGTATGATGAAGTTGCTGGAAGCATTGCAGTCGTTGGAGAGGGTGAAAGTGGCAAGGAAGCTGAAGGAAGCAGCGGCAAATGGGATGGAGGAGGAGAAGCCGAGGATGGTGAATGCAGCAGCGACTTGGAGGTTCAGGGGCAACTGCTATCGGTGTGAGAAGCCAGGACATCGAGCGGTTGACTGCCCCGACAACCCACGTAGCAGGAACTACAAGGGGAGCAGGCACAACAGAGTGGGAAGTTCTGGGGGAACTGTCACCACTGCGGGAAACAGGGTCATCGAGCAGCAGACTGCTACAGGAATCCCAACAGCAAGAATTTAAAGGGACAGACAGGAGAGCAGAATGCTGCACCAGCAAAGGCGAATGTAGCAGCAACAGTGGCCGATGATAAGGTGGATGTCATTCTGGGGGGAGCACATATGGCATGCACTGTGCGCGCTGCAGCAGTTACCATGCATATCGAAGAAGGTGCACATCCTACTTGGTTCATGGACAGCGGATGCTTCCACCACGTGACTTATCGCCGCGAATGGATTCAGGGACTACGCGAGTCAAGTCTGGAAGTTGTTCAAGTCGCCGACAATGGGGTATAAGCAGTGAAAGGGGAAGGAGAAGTGGTGCTACAAGGTCGCATTGGGGAGCTGAAACTAGAGAACGTGTTGCTAGTAGAGGGGCTGAAGATGAACTTGATCAGTCAGTCTCAGGTGGACGAGGCGGGTTACAAGATTTTAGCAACAACAGAAAAATGTGGGTACTTGACCCTCAGTGGACCATAGTAGCGGAGGGAATAGTGCGAAAGGGGATGTATGAGATGCGAGTGACCGAGCAGGGTATGGCTGCACAATGGGCAAGCGACAGCCTACACCTGAGGAGAGAAGGATGGCCCAGGAACGTGGAAGGGTTGCAGTAAATGATATGTTTGAAAGGGTTCGGGAGGCACCTTTCGAGGAACAGCCAGCGGAAGAAAAAGAGGAGAGTGAGGAGGAGTCTCTGCTCAATGGAGAAGAGGAAGCAAATACAGTAGCAGAAGCTGAGGCAACAGCAGCAGCTGAGGCAGCAGTAGTAGGACCAGCAGGCTTTCATCTCGCGCCAAACTCACTCTAGGAGGAGGTTGGCAATGATAAGAATCTCACGCTATTTCTTAGGAAAGGAGCAGTGCAACAGGGGTGGAGTCTGCCGGAGGAGCTAAGGGTTAAGAGGCTTGCAAAGCACTTTACCATATGGGATTACGATCTCTACACGGACCTGGAAGGTGATACCCTGAAGTACCTCAGGGGTTACATTGGGCGTGGCCTTCGAGTGGGGACGGAGAAGAGAATGATCAGGCGTGTGAAGGACTGTTCCGGACACAAGAGGATGTTTCCATACTAGCATCAGGCGTGCAGGGGAGCTGTTAGCAAATGGGTATATGCACAGCAAGGACGCAGTTGAGGAGTATGCACCAGATATAGCAAGCGGTTGATGAGTCTGGAATACCAGGGGAGTCACGGTAAGAGGGTGTGGTGGTTGACGAACCACAGGGGAGGTTGTTGGCATTGGTTCGCCAACCACTAGGGCGACCTAGGGGTGGCGAGCATAATCGTGGGAGGAATTTCAGACGGCGGGAACGGAAGAAAAGTCAATTGAGAAAATAGCGGTGATGAAGGAAAATCGGTGGGAATTCAGAAGAAGTGCGGTGGTGCACTAGGGAACGGTGGCGAGAAGAAAGGAGAATGAGTGGGAAGGAAGGTGTGAAGAAAGTGTGCATGTGGAGTTACGGGAGGATTTGCGGAAGAAAATGGGATTTCAGATGGTGCGCGTTCAGTGGCACCGAACTTGGGGTCGGTGTCGGTGTCGAAACACGCTGACCGCGTTCTGATGTGATTGCGTGTGCGACCCGAAACGAAACGAGGCGTGCTCGTTACTCGAAGCGCCCTCTGTTATGAGTGGGAACGAGACAATCGACTGCTTAATGGAAATACAACCTAGGAATAATGATTGATCAGCAAGTGACAAGCGAACTAGCTAAAATAGGGCTCGTACGTGCTAGGGCGAGAACCTCGGGACGTGAGGTGGCTTGGAGGGGTGGCGAGGGTGTCGGAACGCGACTCGGGAAGGTTTGGGCCGACAATATAGGCCGAACCTGCGAGGTCGACGTCTTCGGGTGTACGCGCTGTAATTTAGCGCAGTAAGGAATTGTAATTCCTTACACTCTCCCACCTTCTAAAGAAGCCCTCTGTACACTAGAGGCGATACCCTGATGGAATAATAATCCAATCGCGAATGTGACTCTAGGTCTTGAAATCTTCTGACGAGCGTAATGATTACGCCGTCCTGACGAATCTTGGGCGAGCCAAATCCGACGGCTGAAATTGGCCGAGAGATATCTTGACCGTTGGGCGATTATCACGAGTCAGCAATGTCGGTGGCGAAACGGTCGAGGTCAATCTGATGGATATCTCCAGATTGAACGGCTGACGATGACTTTAATTTGGTAGGATAATGCCGGATGGCAGAGACTGTAGAACGTGGCATTCCCGCAGGCTTTGTCATCATGACGCTTGTCTTGAGATGTCGAAAGTAATCGTGGCCGTAAATCTTGATAGTTGATCGGATGGTCGGAAGTTGTCGAAACGATCATAGTAGATCGTGACCGTTGAAGGAAGGTCGATTATTCGGCTGACCAAACTGGGCAATGGTGAAAACTCTTGCGGGCGAATGGACAGTGACGCTGTGGGCTGTCAGTTGGTGATGACGAAATTGCAGAAGACGAATGCAGCGCAGCTGCACTTCTCCTCCCCCTCCTCCAAGAAGAAACAATGTCCCGAAATCGGGTAAACCTCCAAGTAACTCACGGCTTCAGGGTAGTCGTAAGATACCCCAACTGCGTTATAAACTCCGTTAAAAGCTCGGCTTCGAAGAGGTCGATGAAGCTCCAGCGGGTAGAACTCTAAAATCTGCTCCAAAGGTGAATTTAGCTGCAAGGCAAACTGCTTCGGAAGTCCTGAAAATTAGTAATACCGCTTCAGAAATAACTCCCAGACGAACTGAAAAAAAAAAATCACGAGTCAATCGACTGCTTGCGAGCAAGCCCCAACACAGCTCCAATAGTAATGCCGCTAAATCTCGTCCATGCGATACTGCTCCAGGCAGATGGCGGGGTCGTGTTCAATATAGCGAACGAAGGTAGGCGAAGTGACGATGGAGGCGGTAGCGGGTGATGGCGAGAAATTGACGACGATGGCGATGGAAAATGACCTGTCCGGAACCACTCCAGTAGATACCCTCGAGTCAAGCCCAGGGTCACACGACTGCTGCTCCGTTTTGTCCGTACATGCCGAAAATTTCGGATTGAGCCGAAAACAGCTGCTGCTCCTTCACTCTCCATGAAACCAAACTACTCCGCAAAAGTCGGATGATGTCGCTCGTACCCCTGGATATAGTGGGCACCACGCCAGCTGCAAAACCTTGAACTGTCACTGCTTCTTCCAGCGAAAATGTCGGAACTTCTCACGTAACTTAACAAATACCGCAACTCCGCTTCACAGCTGCATGTGTTTTGCAGCTACCCATAAAACACTGACGCGCCGTCCTTTAGCTGCACCCCCATCAGTCCGTCACCAGCTGTACGCATGAACTGAGCCCTTTAATCGAGGGTACTCGTTGTTCATCGCCCGGGCATGGGTCTTCAGCCGTCGATCATGGCTGGTGAGCATCATACGCCGTCGATCTCCTCACAAATGTAACCCAAAGTCTTAAAATACCCTGGTACCCCTGACCAGCAGGCCGTGCAGACGTTCCCCCAGGCTGCTGCAGGTTAACCGCTTCACTACTACTCACGTACCCGTAAACTTCAGATGCTTAACAGCTGCGCCGTTGGTTTTCGAAGAATTCCCCATCTGGTACCGGGCGTTTTTGCAGCGCGCCGACGTTCACCCATCTTTGCACTCGCCATGACACCAGACAAGTCCTAGGCATTATCGCGCGTCGTAGTAGCCCGTGTAAATCTGGGACAACTCCCTCCGCTTAGCCGCACTCCGAAACATCGGATACATTGTCCAGCTCGAGCTGCAACAGTGTCGACTTCGAATATGTCTTCGCGGCTTCCCCGACTATTTCGGCAGGTCATCGTTCACCGCTTCTGTCGGTAAGTAAACAGTCGTTAAACCGTAATCCGGGGCAGGACGGAGTAAAACCTAGCGCGCACGCCTGTAGTCGGTGGAGCTAAAATATTAACTCCCAGCCAACCGCTGCGCAGCCCTGCAAATCCCCTCTGGCACCACGAATTACCCAAAACCCCCCATTTTTTCTTCCAGCTGGTCAAGGTGGCCTGGACGGAGCAGAAGCCAGCGCACACGCCGTTAATCAGCGAAGCGATCGCTGTGCAGCCGTGTTAATCCCCTCGGACGAACACCATTTCCAGGTCAGCTCCCCAAGTCTTCGCTAGCACGAAGGAAGTTCCAGCTTAAACCCCCGTTACGGACCTGGAAGGTGAAATGACCCCATAAATCACCACTACTCCCAGGTGGAGGCCGTTGTGAGTCGGTGGAAAGGACGCTCCGTCAGCCGGTGGCCAAACCACTACTGACGCGCGGCAAAATCCGCTGTCGTGAACTTCCCCGCCGCCGCAACCTCTTTTTTTTCTACAATCCGAAAACTTCGCCCTTACGGTGACACAAGGAGACGCATGCGACGGACCCGTCCAGAATTTCTTTTGCAGCATCCGTGGGTTGCGCCCCATGTCCCTTTTATCGTGGAGCCCTGGCCGTCATTTCTCGAGCTGGTTTCCTCGTCAGGAAACTTTTGCCCGGCATGTAGGTACATTGTCGGCAGGTTGTAGACCACGCGTAAAGCATGACTGCAATCCAGCTGCCAACTATTTGACACGTGTCGGTGACGTCCCAGTGCCATCCTGGTGCTGTACGAAAGTTGGTCGTTGCCGAAGGTTTCTGCTTCCGGATTTTTCGCCGAATCGAGGCCGCGCCGACCCACTGCCTTTGTCCCCTCGCCGAAGTTACCAGAGCGCGACGACACACCAAGGCCCAATCCTCCGAGGTTGTCGGTTTGCACATGAAACAGAGAGCCGGCGAATTCTTCGCGTCTCTCGCTCCCCGCGCTTTCCCCGTGTACACTTCTAACGCATCGCACGTGCGCCTGGCGAACTCCAAAATCTTCGCACGGAGTTGGGCGAGCCTTCGCTTTTTTCACACAACCGCTGACGACGTCTCCTAGCGAGTCGCGTGAAGATTTCCCGCCACGTAACGACGACGCGACGTTGCACACAAAACCAACAAAGTAAATGCATAATTCACCAATTCACGTGGCGAATTACTGCCTTGACAGCCACAGCTATCCGTTCCTGGGGGGAGGGAGGACCCAACCAAATCTTGGCCGTCCAAAGGCAGGGTATGGTGAGGAAGGGAGCGCACACGCCTTAGTCGGACGAGCTAACAAATTAGCTCCGAGCCAACCGTTGTGCAGCCCCGCGGCCCACCAGCCATCCCTCCTTTCCCCCCCCCAAGAAAAATTCTCGGGCAGGCGGAAGCTACTGCGCGAGGAAAGTGGCTCTGATACCAAGTGTTATGAGTGGGAATGAGACAATCGACTGCTTAATGGAAATACAATTTAGGAATAATGATTGATCAGCAAGTGACAAGCGAACTGGCTAAAACAGGGCTCGTACGTGGTAGGGCGAGAACCTCGGGACGTGAGGTGGCTTGGAGGGGTGGCGAGGGTGTCGGAAAGCGACTCGGGAAGGTTTGGGCCGACAATATAGGCCGAACCTGCGAGGTCGACGTCTTCGGGTGTACGCGCTGTGATTTAGCGCAGTAAGGAATTGTAATTCCTTACACCCTCGGTGGTTATGAGCCGCGAATTGGCATTCTAGTTGACTATAAAAGTGCTTTTCTGTTTGTTATTTCATAATACAATTGAGTTATGAACCTTGCAGAAGTGCGTAAACACGACTTCTAGCAAACCCGAGGATACCGTTGGAATCGTGTCGACGAGGAGATTATCATAGAGCCCAATGCTTCTATATAATCCTAGTGCAAGGAGTCCTTGCAAGGCGAAATCACGTCGGCCGGAGGCGATCAGCGAGTTGGCGCATCGGAGTCCGAGCGCTCAGTGCGACTGCGTTCTGTAGCTGTAGGCGAGGAGTCCTTGCTACGAGCTAGCGGTAGGACGTCGGCATCAGTCACGAGCAAGGTTGGCTTTCTGTGAGCGTGTTTAACATTTCGTTGCCTGGGAGCTGTAGTTTCACGCGGAAACTATAGCCGCCTTAGAGTATCGACACCATTCACCAGGGGGACAGGCAGAGCCACACGTTCACCCATATGAAGGGGCTGGACAGACAGGTGAGCGGATGCGTTTGGGCCCAACTGACAGTCTGAGACAGGCTCCGTGGTGCTGTGCTCTCCAACGGCCACCTCACGATGTGCATCGACACCATTCACCAGGGGGACAGGTAGAGGCGCACGTTCACCCATATCAAGGGGCAGGACAGACAGGTGAGTGTATGCTATTCAGGTGAATTGAATGAATTCTGTGGTGCTGATCAATGCCAACCTCGCGGTATGTGTGTGTCGGCCCAAGCTGGAATGATCTCCATTCATCCCTACTATTCTGAAATTCGACCTCACGACAGACTACCGATGTGTGTTGATGACTTTTCATCATCCCTGCTGCCTCATACCCCATGGCTCTGCTTTCTCACTGTGTCATTGTGCTCTCTCCTGTCCTCCTTACCCTGACTTCACACTACAGATAGTGTACACAGCAGCAGCGGCTCTGCGGTTGGAGGGGCCGTGGGTCTCTCTGCGTGTTGGCATGGCTCTCATTTCTCACCTCATCTGTCCCGTGCTCCTTACCACCTGTCTCCTTGCAACAGACGGTGTACACAGCTGCGGCAGCGCTGCGGTTGGAGGGGCCATGGGTCACGGATGCGTATGTCGACATCATGATGCGCCATGTTGGTATGCAATGCACCGTTTTCCAACGCCATGTGCACCGTGTTGCAACGCACCGTGTTCCAACGCAATTGCGTGCACCTTATTGTTAGGTGTTGACTTGACATTCACCATGCAATGTCCATATGAACGTTTTTGTCATTGTCATAAACGCACAGTGGTAAGTGGAAGCTCTTCTTCTCTCGCTGCTTGTCATGCCCCAGTCGTGTGCCATGGAGGAGGAGGAGGAGGAGGAGGAGGAGGATGAGGAGGAGGAGGGCAGGGTGGGGGGGTGAAATCCCCCCCACCACCCATGCCATTTTACCCCCCCACCCTGCCCCCCTCCTCCTGGAATGAGATGCAAGTCCGACCAGCTAGATTTCCTCCTCACCCTCCTCACCCTCCTCACCCTCCTCACCCTCCTCACCCTCCTCACCCTCCTCACGCCTCTTTTCTCCCACCATTCTTCACAGCTCCCCTCCCTCCGCCCCCCCGTCCTTCTCCCTTCTATCCCCTTTGCCCTCTCAGGTTCTCCTCACTTGCCCACCCCGCCTCTCTCCTCCTCCTGAGCCCGTTTCAAATCCGAACTTCTAGACTCCCTCACCTCCTCCCTCGCTTCCTCCTCTCTTTCTAAGAGCCCTTCCTCCCTCCTCCTTCCTCCTTCCTCCCTTCTTCCCTTCCCCACATCCCTCCAGGTGCCCCTCGCCTACCCACCCCGCCCCTCTCCTCCTCGTGGGTCCGCTTCGAGTCCGACCAGCTTGACTCCCTCACCTCTTCCCCCTCCTCCTCCTTCCTCTCCCTGCCCTCCTCCCACCCTCCCCTCTCCACCACACCCGAACCCCCTCAAGCTCATCCCCCCCCCCTCCTCCGTCTCCTCAACCTCCTCCTCCTCATCCATCCCACTCCCCTCTCCCCCCGGGCATCTCGTCAGCACTCGCTGCGGCCTCTGCTCCCCTCCCCGTGCGCCCTCGAGCCATCAACGTGGGCTCGCCGGGGGGAGGAAGAAGTGCTGCAGGGGATGGCAGTGGGGATAGAAGTGCAGTGGGTGTTGCTGCTGCTGGCGCCGGCAGTGGCGGTGGGGGTGGGATGGATGGTACTGGAAGGGGCAGTACTGGTGGTGGTGGTGGTGGTGGTGGTGGTGGTGGTGGTGGTGCTGGTGGTGCTGGTGCTGGTGCTGGTGCTGGTCGGCGCAGGGGAGAGGAGGGAGAGATAGAGGAGCAGGAGCCTTGGACTCGATCCCCCACAAGGGCGAGTGAAGCAGCAGCGATGGCAGCCCCTGCATCATGGGGGCTCACAGGCCTCGCTGACTCAGTTGGCCTCATGCACACGCAGATCATCCAGCAAGCTATGGGCGCTGCTGGGCCTCCCACTCTCGCTCCCACTCCAACCGCTGCTATCGCATCCGTGTCCACCGCGGCCGATGCTGCTGCTGACGAAAAGCGGATGGGCGCTACAGGTGGCGGTGCTTTTTCCGGCCATTTTGTGGCCGCTCCTCCCATTAGTCCCGCAATATCTCCCCTTGCTCCAAGAGAGACCTCCGGAGCTGGTGCCACACCAGGTGGTGACAGTCAGCAGCAGCCAAGTCAGCAGCAGAGGGTAGTGCCGGGAGAGCAGCAGGGAGGGATGGCAGAGGAAGGGGCTTCAAGGCACCGTGGAGCAGAGAAGGGGCCAGGGCAGCAAGTGAGGGGAGGTGCGGCAGCTTCACAAATAGGAAGTGTGTTAACAGCACAGATAGGAGGCGTGCGGTCAGAAATGGGTGGGGCAGCGTCCGAAATGGGAGGGGCATCCGCAGCATCATCCTCCGCAGCATCAGCGTCAGCATCGCAGAGGGCCCGGTTTGACCTGATTCCGAAGCGCGAGCAGTTCAACTTTGACAGAGGGCTCAATCTTGCTGTGATGGCCGTGCAGGTGCGCTAGTGTTGATGTACATGAGGAGGGGACTCAGCCAAGTGCGCTAGTGTTGATGCACTTGGGAACATGGGATTGTCGTTTAGGCGAATGGGAGAAAGTAGTAGCCTCCTTCGTTTCTTCCTCAACCCACCTGTCTCTTCTGTTCCCCTTTCCACTTCACCCCTCTCTCCTGTCCCTCACTCTCTCACACTCTCCTGTCCCTCACTCTCTCACACTCTCATTTCCCTCACTCTCTCACACTGCCCTTTTTCCTTACTCCCTCACACTCTGCTCCCCCTTGGCAGAAACTCCTTCGCAGCAACGGCCCTCCAGTCATAGTGGGCATTGGTGAGTCCCATCCTCATATGCGACCCCTCCTCATATGCGACCCCTCCTCATATGCGACCCCTCCTCATATGCGACCCCTCCTCATATGCGACCCCTCCTCATATGCGACCCCTCCTCATATGCGACCCCTCCTCATATGCGACCCCTCCTCATATGCGACCCCTCCTCATATGCGACCCCTCCTCATATGCGACCCCTCCTCATATGCGAGTCCCATCCTCATATGCGACCCCTCCTCATATGCGACCCCTCCTCATATGCGACCCCTCCTCATATGCGACCCCTCCTCATATGCGACCCCTCCTCATATGCGACCCCTCCTCATATGCGACCCCTCCTCATATGCGACCCCTCCTCATATGCGACCCCTCCTCATATGCGACCCCTCCTCATATGCGACCCCTCCTCATATGCGACCCCTCCTCATATGCGACCCCTCCTCATATGCGACCCCTCCTCATATGCGACCCCTCCTCATATGCGACCCCTCCTCATATGCGACCCCTCCTCATATGCGACCCCTCCTCATATGCGACCCCTCCTCATATGCGACCCCTCCTCATATGCGACCCCTCCTCATATGCGACCCCTCCTCATATGCGACCCCTCCTCATATGCGACCCCTCCTCATATGCGACCCCTCCTCATATGCGACCCCTCCTCATATGCGACCCCTCCTCATATGCGACCCCTCCTCATATGCGACCCCTCCTCATATGCGACCCCTCCTCATATGCGACCCCTCCTCATATGCGACCCCCCCCCCTCCTCATATGCGACCCCTCCTCATATGCGACCCCTCCTCATATGCGACCCCTCCTCATATGCGACCCCTCCTCATATGCGACCCCTCCTCATATGCGACCCCTCCTCATATGCGACCCCTCCTCATATGCGACCCCTCCTCATATGCGACCCCTCCTCATATGCGACCCCTCCTCATATGCGACCCCTCCTCATATGCGACCCCTCCTCATATGCGACCCCTCCTCATATGCGACCCCTCCTCATATGCGACCCCTCCTCATATGCGACCCCTCCTCATATGCGACCCCTCCTCATATGCGACCCCTCCTCATATGCGACCCCTCCTCATATGCGACCCCTCCTCATATGCGACCCCTCCTCATATGCGACCCCTCCTCATATGCGACCCCTCCTCATATGCGACCCCTCCTCATATGCGACCCCTCCTCATATGCGACCCCTCCTCGTATGCGAGTCCCCTCCTCCTCATATGTGAGCATCCACCCGAAACCCTGTGCGCGCGTTTCCAAGTGTCACTTCTTTTGAGTCGATTTAAATGTCGCCCTCGCAGCAACCAACAGCCCTCCAGTCGTTGTGGGCATCGGTACATTCCCTTCCCCATCATTCGGTCCCATCCCCATCTTGTTCCTCCTCCTTTTATGTCATCTAAAATCCACCTCGTTCTCCTCTACTTCTAGCTCCACACTCCTCCCCCTTTGATCACATGATGTCAAGAACTACAAAACCCCCGGTATGTCAATGTCCCAGGTGGACCCTTTTGTTCCGAAATCATTATCCGAGGATGCAAATTCAATGCCTTTTCCATGCCCGTTTTGTCCTGAAAAATGAGGCGCCTAAAGAAAACATGTCCTTCCCCCCATGTCGACTCCCACCTTAGGCATCGCTCCAGGAGGACTCAGTCGCTTTGAGTCGACCTGCTTGACTCGCAATTTCGCCTGCCATCTCTCCTGCGCCTGCCTCTCCTCGACCCATCACCTCTCGTCTCTCTTATCCGCCGGGTGTTTTTGAGAATTCTCGAAAACACCCATCTCACTTATCCGCCTTCTCTTCGTTACTTTCCTCCAGGGGGGCCCAGCTATTCTGGAAAGACCAGTCTGCTTACTTTTGAGACGTCTCACCTTTATAACGTCTCATTTTTTGAGTCGACTCAAAAGCAATGCTTACTTTTGAGACGTCTCACCTTTATAACGTCTCACCTCCAGGCCCAGCTGTTCTGGAAAGACCAGGCTCGCTCGCCTGCTTTCCTGCTCTCCTGCTCTCGCTGTTTCTGGACGCTTTCTTTCTTTCTCCCGTTCCTTCTCTTTCCTTCCCTCTCCTGCAAGCGGAGCCTGTGGTACAGGCAAGACCAGCCTAACACACAGCCTCACTCGCCTGCTCTCCTGCAACATCCTCTCCCTCTCACTTCTCTCCCCCACTATTCCTTCCATGTTCCCAGGCGGACCTAGTGGGTCAGGCAAAACAAGTCTAGCCCGCAACCTCGCCCGCCTGCTGTCCTGCGACCTCCTCTCCCTCGACTCGTTCTTCAACGACGCGGCCGACGGAACCAACTACGATGACGTGGCGGTCGTGGATTGGCCGCTGCTGCGCCGCACGCTGCAGGACGTGCGGGAGGGCCGGCCCGCGGTGACCCCGGTGTTTGACTTTGCTGCGATGAGGAGAGTGGGGTACAGACCCGTGCACATGCATGGGGATGGGCATACACAAGTGGATGTGTCTCCAGAATCTGCAGCAGCAGCAGCAGCCGCAGCAGGAGCAGCAGCAGCAGCAGGAGGAGTTGAGGCTTCGTGGGAGGCAGCAGGTGGAGCGAGGGACGGCAGTGGTGGTGGTGGCAGCAGCGGAGTGGTGCGTGCCTCCTTCGGCTCTGTTTTCCCTCTGTGACTTTTGAGTCGACTCAAAAGTCGCCTTCATTGCTATAGCCCTCAAACCCATCTTCTTCTCACCGCCTCTTCTTCCCGTGTTTGATCCGCTTGATCCCATTCTTGTCAACTTATGTCGGCTCTCTTGTGGAAGGCAAGGCACTGGTACATAGGGGAGGGAACTCACAGCTACATCCATTGTAGCCACCATTCAACTGGAATCACAATCTCGCTATAGTCACAGCCTTGCTCTCCTTCACCCCCATCAGCTCGTGGTGGAGGGTAAACGCATGCTCCATCCCGGAATGGTCCCTTGCTGCAGTGCAGGCTGCATTTTGAGTCGACTCAAAATACACCTGGTAATCGCATGCTCCATCCCTGACTGGTCCCTTGCTGCAGTGCAGGCTGCAGCAACCCCCTAGTAACCATTTTCTGCTCTCTGCCCCCCCACTCCCTTTGTTTATACCCGCCCCTTTCATCTCGTTGCAACCAGCTGGTAGTGGAGGGCACCCACACGCTCCACCCTCTGCTGCAGCAGCGACTCGACCTGCGCATTGCCGTGGTGAGTGGAGCGAGTGTCATGTGACATGGTAACAGGTTGGCTTAACAAGGCGACGTAACATGGTGACGTAACAAGGTCACTCTTGAGTTGAGTCCACTCAACACTGACACGCTCCACTCCTTGCTGCAGCAGCGGCTCGACCTGCGCATTGCCGTGGTGAGTGGAGCGAGTGTCATGTGACATGGTAACAAGTTGGCTTAACAAGGTGACGTAACATGGTGACGTAACAAGGTCACTCTTGAGTTGAGTCCACTCAACACTGACACGCTCCACCCCTTGCTGCAGCAGCGGCTCGACCTGCGCATTGCCGTGGTGAAATGAGGTGAGATGGCATGGAATGAAGGTGAAGTAGTTAGTGGCGGAATGAAGGTTTAGTTTTAAGACGTCTCAAAAATAAACCACTTAACCTCGACCTGCGCATTGCCGTGGTGAGACGGCATGGAATGAAGCCCTTACTGCCAAACACTGCTCTTCTAAGGATCATGAAATTGCAGTGATGAGACGGCGAAAACTCAGGCACGCCTTGGTAGTGAGATGAGTTTTGAGTCGGCTCAAAAATCAAGAGGTTTTTAACTCAGGCACGCATTGGTGGGACGAGGCTAGCTGGCATGCCAGTGTTGTCATGCCTGTCTCTACCTTTGCCCGTCAGATGGAGGGCAGTTTGTGCAAGGCTGCAAGGAATAGCTGCAAAGCTGCAGTGATGGCAGGAATACCTTACCTGGCTTTATAGGCATATGCTATAGGCATAGTCTATATTGTCTATAGGCTTCCTACCCGGCTTTTCCCTATATGAAGCGGATGTGCACTCCCACCCACCTGCTATCACGAGTGCTCTCTGACCTGCAAGGCTGCAGCATGCCACTCATGTTGCTATGGCCCGTGCCACCGTGCCCTGCCATGTTTGCCTCTCACAGGACGGGGGCGTTCATTCCCACCTGCTATCCCGAGTGCTCTCCGACCTGCAAGCTACCAGCGTGCCGCAGCCAGCAGAAGACGTGGAAGCAACTCTCTTCCCGCTCTTCCGTTCCCAAATCAGCCCGTTTCTCTCCACGGCCCATGTGAGTTAGAGACCCTCGTTTTTTTACTTTCAGTGCACGGGCATTCATTCCCTTAAATTGACTTCTGTCTCCCTCTCATGTGCGTTCAAGGACCTAAACTTTCTGGAAGATTCTGTTTTTTTTTTCAGCCCGACACCCCCGGTGCTTTGAATTAGCTTATTTATTCCCAAACCTTTGATTTTCTCCATATCCCTTGTTCGACGTGAAACGTTTGTGCCTTTCGTTCTTCTGTGTGCCTCTCTATGTGTGTGTTATTGCATGCACGGGTATGCATCTACACTTGTGTGTGTCACACGCACGGTTGCATATGCTGGCGCGATTGCGTGTTCGCGTGTGCATGTTGGACCACACATGCAGTTACGAGTGGTGAACAAATTCGATCCCTTCCACGCCCGCGATGCCTCCCAGTTCGTTCTCAAGAGTGACAAAAAGGTACCCAATGCGTAACAGCGTGATAACAGATGGGAATCAGAACAGAGTCTACAGATGGATGATTTGTGTGTTCAGTGGAGCCAGCAAAAATCATAGTCAAGGCATATCTTACTCGGCATGTAGATTACTTGGCAGACAAATGCAATCATCATCCCCCTGCTCCCCCTTTCTTGTCCTCAAGAGCGTAACCAAGAAGGGCATTTTGCGCATTGACAATGGCAGCTGAGGTTGCCACGCACATTGTCATGCACATTGCCACGCACATTGCCATGTGCGTGGCTAGCCCAACCACCCATTAGTACCGTACTACACCAACGTTACGTCTACCTGCCTGGGCTGCATGCTCCCTCTCCGCCCTCGCCCCCCACACCTCAGGTAACCGAAGACGACATACTGGGAGTGGTAGACCCCTCCACCCACCACCGCCGCCAGCTGTGCTGCTCTGACGTCTGCTCCTATCTGCCATGGATGCACCCAGAGGGGGCCTGCGAGGCAGTCATTGGATTCGTTCTCATTTCCCACTCTCGTTCTCTCTCCTCCCCTGTCGTCAAGGTGACTGAGGAAGACATACTGCGAGTGGTTGACCCCTCCACCCACCACCACCGCCAGTTGTGCTACACCGACGTTTACTTCTACCTGCCGGGGCTGCACCCAGAGGGGCCTGTGAGGGAGTCTGACCAATTCACTCTCCCTCCCCCCCGCTGTGTTTGCTTTCCTGCCCCTAGGTAACTGAAGAGGACATACTGCGAGTGGTTGACCCCTCCACCCACCACCGCCGCCAGTTGTCGTATACTGATGTTTACTTCTACCTGCCGGGGTTGCACCCAGAGGGGCCTGTGAGGGAGTCCGATTGGATCCGAGTGCGCTGCTGCAACAACCGGTTTGCCGTGCTCATTCGCGAGGTGAGGCTGTGTGATTGTCCTTCACGCCATCCTACGTGTTCGTCCCATAGATTGAGCTCATTTAGGCATCAGGCTGGCCGTCTCGTCTACCATGCATATTTCCGTTTTCCTACACTTGCGGTTCCATCTCTCTTTTTTTGTTCCGTTTCAGCCTGGGGACTTTCCCTTACCAAACCGGCGACAACTTTCAATGAAAGAGCACCTTACCTCATCGGACTCAGCCTTGGGATTTCTCCTTGATTCCGGTGCCTCCCTTCCAGCCCCTAACAGAGGGCGACTTTGTGATTCAGCCTCAGGTGGAATTTGACATTGGGCTCTCCACTGTGGCCGGGCTAGTTGGCCTTGGGTGAGTGGTGTCGTGTCGCTGCTGCTTGTGCTTGTGCGTGTGGTGGTAACCAGGTAACCAGTGGCTGTCCTGGTGATTCACTGAGTGTGTGAGTCATGGGATTTAGCCTCAGATGGGGTGTGATATCGAGCTCTCCACAGTGGCGGGGCTTGTGCACCTGGAGTGAGTGGTGGTGTGGCCAGGCTGCTTGTGCTTGTGATGATGGTGGTAGCCAGGATAACTACGGCTGTGGTGGTGGTAACCAGGTTAACTGTGGCTGTGGCCGTGGTAACCAGGTTAACTATGGCTGTGGCGGTGGTAACCAGGTTGGTAGTGGTACCCCTGGGTGAGTTAGAAGCCTGTGATTCAGCCTCAGGAGGAGTTTGACATAAGCCCCCCACAGTGGCCAGCTAGACACGCTCGGGTGAGTAGTGGTCATGCTGCTTGTGCTGTTGCTTGGTGCTCCTTGCTCTCCTGAGCTGCAGATAGCAGGCAGGACGTGCTGTTTCAGCTGTTGGCTGCAAATAAACCTTGGGTGCTGTTTCTCATTGGTCCTTTCGCCCTGTGGCATTTGCAGGTACCAGGCAGGATTGTTCATGGAGGTTTCAGCCACCGTGTTTCAAGACGACCAGGTGAGAACATCAGTACCAAGCAATTGTTACATGACAATTGCTTGTCCGTTCAGCTTGTGCAGAAGGTTTTATGCATTATGGCCGCAGATTTCAGTGGATTGATTTTGACAAGTCATTATTATAACTGGCGCACTTTTCAGGGCTTAAACGGACATGAAATCCTAACAATAATCGGACTTTCTATCCGTGCTGCTGTGTTGTTTACTACTATTGGGTGATTGTTTTGCTTGTTTGTTTGTTTGTTGGGGTTTTTTTTTTTTTTTTTTTTTTTTTTTTCATGCCAGCTGTCAGTGGAGGTAGTGGGAATCAAGGGGCTCAACGGGCGGCGGTTTGTGCAGATCAAGGGCAGCAGCCGGGAGGCTGTTGCTGCAGCAGGGAGAGCGATGCGGCTTGAGGGGACGTATGTGACCAAGGTAGGTTAAGTGCATGCTTTGCTAAGGCCTGCATACATGATGCTCGATGCAGAAAACGGCGCAGCCGGGATGCCGTGGCTGCACAGCGAACCATGAGGCTTGATGGGGCTTACATCACGAAGGGGCGTACACTGATAACCCACGTGATGATGCCCATGCGTCAAGGGGCGCAGCCGGGATGCCGTGGCTGCTGCAGGGAGAGCTGTGAGGCTGGATGGGACTAATGTTATTAACGTAGGGGATGGTGTATGCTTTTGTTTTCCTGTTTTTTGGACTAGGGTTGAGTATGCATGATTATTTGTCGAAGAGTCAACCCTTTCCATGTAGCATTCCTCCTTCGTTCTTTTCCTTACAATTCTCTGTTCTGTGTTCTCTGTTTTTTTTAAATATTATTATTATTTTCCTCCACTGACCCCCTCCTATCGTCCCCTCCCATTCCAACTTCCGTCATCTGTCCCATCCCCACCCTATGCCACGTGGCATGCAGCCATTTGTGGAGATAATTCATGACACCAACCGGGTGTACTTCTCAGAGTCTGTCGACGTCCATCGCAGCCCACAGGCCGCACGTTTGCACGACTTACTCCTACGGGTGTCCGGCACAACACTCGGGCAACCACCCATGCCATCTGGCGAGCAGCACAGCAGAGCAGCGGCCCAACGGCACGGCATGTCAGCTAGTGTTGCTCACGAGCATGGGCGTCAGCAACAAGGCTCGCAGCATGCTGTGTTGTACCACCATGGGCTTGCAGCATCCACGCCATACAGTAGCAGTAGACTCACAGCGTCTGTGCCAGCCGCTTACTCCGCAATCCCATCTGCTGACACCACTGCTGCTGCCTCGTATGGTGTGCTGCCAACCAGGCCCACTATCACTGCTGATCCTGCTGCTGCTGCTGGTGGTGGTTCTGGTGGTGTCCATGGCAGTGTTGGCAGTGCTCATACAGCATTACCACCTCCCCAGGTCTCTGCACCTGCACCATCAGCTGCTGCCACACCAGCAGCAAGACCAGCAGCCACGTCATCATCTCAGCAGCCAGCAGCTTTAACGACAACTGCCAGCCTGGCAGCTCGGCTGCAGCTGTTGGACGCGCGTCTGAATTCCCTGGAGCGAATGCAGTTCCTCAACACAGTGAGTTGATGAACTCTTTGCATGTGCGTGCATGTGCTTGAAAGGAGGAGAGCCCGGGGTTTTGTTGTGCTCATCATATAGCTGTTGGACGCGCGTCTGAATTCCCTGGAGCGAATGCAATTCCTCAACACCGTGAGTTGCCAAACCCCACACCCCACGTCACTCCTCACAACTCCCATCGCTCCTTGTTAAGGGTCTAGGAGGCCCTCTCGAGGGTGTCCAGGTGCTCCAAATCTTTGAATGGTATCAACTGCTCGCCATTTGTTAAAGACAGAGTTCCTTCTCCTTTCCTTCCCTCACGCTCTTCCTTCTGGCTCTCCTGGGGTCGTTCCTCCTCTGCTGCTGTGTCGCCCTGCTCTTCTCCCACCGCCCCCATGACTCTCGCTGTCTCCCTCCCCTACGCCCACTCTCTCACCCTCACCCCCTCCCCCTCACCCCCTCCCCCACCCCCTCCCCCTCACCCCCTCCCCCGATTCTTCCAGGCTCTCCTGGGGTCGCTCCTCCTCTGCTGCTGTGTCGCCCTGCTCTTCTCCCGCCGCCCCCATCGATGAATCAAAGCAAAGCATTCGCATCACACTCTCCCTCGACACACTGGGCTCTCCTGCCTGCACCACACTCGGACACGGGGGATGAGACTTTCCCTTGTCTGCGCCCCAGCTGTAGCCAACCTCACACTTCTCGCACACACCAGGCGCTTTCCTTTGTGTCGGGCCGAGTCTTCAACACTGGCCGTGTGTTGATCGCCTTTCCTGGAATCACTCCCCCACAGGGCGCGCTGTGCATTGTACCAGTACAGCAGTATCAAATCGCAGTACAGTAGTGTAGTACCTGTACAGTTTAGTAGCATCTGTACAGTGTCAATTCACTTGGATAGGTGACACTTCAAAAGTACACCACTCATCTACACCCCATACTGACAAACAGATCATTGCACCCAAGTTGTAAGAGTTTAAATTGTCGTGGCACTGGGATAACCCTGTCGATCATCTCTCTCTTTCTAGGGAGGGTACGGGGGAGGCTTTCCCCGGGGAAGGTGGATATATGGAGCCTAACCCTTCTCATGACATCCCTTCTTGTCCCAGTGGTCAGGATTGGTGACTTAATGACATGGTATCAAAGCCATCCGAGGTTAGATGCCTGGTGTGTACACGCTATCCTTGCGGGGGGGTGTGTCGTGGCACTGGGATAACCCTGTCGATGCTCTCTCTCTCTAGGGAGGGTACTGGGGAGGCTTTCCTCGGGGAAGGTGGATATATGGAGCCTAACCCTCCTGATGATATCCCTTCTTGTCCCAGTGGTTAGGACTGGTGACTTAATGACATAAATTACTTCTTCCTGCAACTGCCTTGTCAGTCTCCCCAGGTCTCCGATCAAGAGTTGAAGCCCCACCGAATTTGTTCTAGGGGCAGAAGGTCCAACCTGGGCACTACCTTCAAAAGAGCTTCTCAAACCTCTTAACTAATCACTGTAGTGCACTATCAACAATTAGTGTACTGTACAGAATACTAAGTGTACCTACAAGCAGCTCTCCTAGCCCTCGCACATTGTCCTACAGCATCCCATCTGGCCATGCCCTGCTGCTTGTACTGGTTGTACACCCCTGGCTTGACACACTCCTTCCACACATTGCACCCTGCAGGCTTGTGCTGCAGGCAGTTGGCAAACGAATAGGTCGGCCCTGTCCCCAGGTCAAGGTTGTAAAGTCGAGTGGTGAAGCCATGAGCATTGTTGTCAGCACACATAGCCTGGGGAGGGGAGGGGACGTGGGAGGGGGGTTGGTAAAGGCTGACTCCAATACATGTGGGAACCGGATTCCATCATCCATTCTTACCCATTCTTACCCATTCTTACCCATTCAAAGGCTGATGAAGTGTCCCAGATTTCTGCATACTCCGCGACAAGCACCGCCTTGTTGCGGACGATAAACTCATTCACACAGCCACATGAGCAATCACAATTGCACCCTACCTGTGGGAATTGGATGCCGTTCTTGACCCCTGCTGAAGTGCCCCAGCTCTCCGCGTACTCGGCGACAAACACCGCCTTGTTGCGGACAATAAACTCATTCGCATAGTCGCAGCCGTACTTGCCGCTGTACCACTCTCCACCGCTCCAGTCCGTGTACTGGTTGCACTCCTCAACGAGAGCCCAGTCGAACAGGTTGGCCATGTAGGAGGGAGCGAGGGTGCCGGGGTTCTTGAGACCCACTGACATGCCGTACCTGATAGAGAGAGGGAGGGGGGGGGGGGGGGGGGGAAGGGGGGAGGGTGAGAGGCGGGGGCCGATGAGGAACGAATATGAAAGAGAATGCTTCAGTCAAAGATCTGTGCCACGTGGGAGGGAGCCAAGGGCCAGAATTTGTGAGAGCCTCTGACATGCCGTACATGGAGGATGGGAATATGCGAACTCGAATGGCTTTGCATTCAAGAAAATTCATGAAATCTAGTTTTGAGGCGCCTCAAAACTAGACTCCTATCACGCAGAAAATTAATGGAAAGTTGGTGATATGTGCATGCATGCCGTATCTATACCTATTCACCTCTACCTATTTGGGGCATTGCATCGCCATTGTTAGCCATTTCCACAGATTTCATAAGCCTTATCCCGAGGAAATAACAGGCACAGGCAAAAGGTTCTCTCTCAGCTCAATACCTCTGGTTTCAAAGGTTAGTCAAGCTAGACATACTTACTTGTGCACTGTATTCGCAATCCACGAGTTGAAGTTGAACTGGTCCTTGGCAGTGATGGTGAATTGGCTGATGGGCTTGACCATGATGTTGCCGTTGTATGCATCCACGTTGTCAGGCTCTATGCCGTCACACCCCTTGCGCTTGGCCAACTGTAGGGCGGATGGTGAAAGAGACAGCGGAGATATAGCATATTCAAGACCCAACAGAAGTGGCTGATGGCGTTGACCATGATGTTGCCATTGTATGCATCCACGTTGTCAGGCTCTATGCCGTCACACCCCTTGCGCTTGACCAACTGTAGGGCGGATGGTGAAAGAGACAGCGGAGATATAGCATATTCAAGACCCAACAGAAGTGGCTGATGGCGTTGACCATGATGTTGCCATTGTATGCATCCACGTTGTCAGGCTCTATGCCGTCCCACCCCTTGCGCTTGGCGAGCTGGTGGGATCATGAACGACACAAGGAGCAACTAAACATACAACTCAGAGCAGGCGAGGCGGGAAAACCAAAAAGAGCTAGGTCTTGAATGGGTACCAAAGCACCAATTTTGAGACGAGCTCGAAACGCTGAATGAGGCACGAGTCACAACATATGCTAGACTACCCTCGGGTTATTATTCTCGCAATGTGCACGCCACGGGTATGTAATCTGGTCGTGCCTGAATTTGTTTTTCCACTAATTGGCGCACAGCAGTTTACAGTCACTTGTGACGGTCCGTGTTACGTTCTTAACAATGAGCTTCGTGTGTGAACACGCTTCTTATGTTTCGTGTGTCAATGAGTTTCACGTGTGTGCACGTTTTTGCTCGTACCTGGATCCGCTTCTCCAGTATTTGGCGCACAGCAGAGCTCTTCACATCCAGCCACCGCTCGCCTTGCCATGCCTCCGAGCAGTCCTCGTTCTGCCGTTAAGAACGACGTCGAAAGAGGAAGGACGAATGGTTATGTAGGAAACGGAAGCAATAAGCGGAAGGAAAACAAGCCGAAGGAAAACCTCTTTTTTTTCTCTCTCTCTCTCTCTTTTTTTTTTTCTCGGGAAATGAATGAAAAAGAAAGCCAGAACCGAGATTCTCTACACCAAAGCAACGCGTATATTATCACGCGTAGTAAGCGTCTCACCATGCAGACCATTCCACCAAGCGTGGACCTCGGGAAGTCCTTATAATCGCTGCGGTAATCCTCGGCAGTCCCAAAGCTGAAGTAACAAAAGACCTTCTTCCCCATCGATTTCAGCCTCGATATAGTGTTCGCCGATACGCTGAATCCGTCGACGTCGAAGATTTTGGCTTTATTGGATGTATCGGGATTCGCATCGGAAATTTCCCAGTAGAAGGAGGTTCCTGGAGCCGGGACGTACCACCCGTTACAAGTGGCCCCGTTACCCACAAGACAAACGGCGAGGAGGGTCAGCGTGACGAGGACGCGAGAGCCGCTTACGAACCCGAGCATCGCCATCATGGCGTTACGACGATTGGAAGCAGGGGGACTGTAACTCGCGACGACGAGTCGTCGTAAACGCGAGAACTACTAACTCTGCGAACTTCCTGTGAGCTGTGCAAGAAATACGTCGGTAAATGCAACTTGAGGATTCTCGAAAAACGCTACTACGGCGCGAAGTACTTGCTCACCAAACTTCCCATGAGCTGCAAGAGATACGTCGTGCAAACAAAACCAGCAGAGCTTCTCGAGAAGAGTAATTGGCAACCCTCAGTGTTGGCCCAGCACTCAGGGCATACGGCTTGTAATAAGGGAACTAAGGAGACTGAAAGCTAGCTGTTGGTGAAAGTCACTGCCTCGCTTGGGCTTATGTGCGTTTTCATCCGCCGAAGCAGTAAGCGGAATCGCTAAAGCTACGCGTCGTTTCAAAGACACCTCCATGACCACCGCGATCCGGTCCTGAGCTCTGCCACGTGGCGCAGCGCGAAGTAACGATGGACCGAGAGCGTTTCCTTGCTCGCTTTTGTCCTCAGCAAATTGAGATGCGGGGGATGCGGGGGATGCGGAGGGAGTGGGTGGGACATGCGACTTCGCTGCGCTGCATTGAATTCTGCAGAAGCGGATGCCACAGCGTCGCTATGTCCATACCATTACGGTGTTATTCGGCTGCAACTTGGGCAGCCATTACGTGCTGCTGCTGGGAGGGGGCCAAGTTATTACACCTAGCCCGCGTTATTTTCACACCCAGTATTTTCACAGGGGGTGCCGCTGAGAGGGTATTCACCCCCCGAAAGCTGCTCCTGAAGACCAGGTCTCGATACCCTTGAAAACAACCAGAACTTGATTTTCTATACAAAACGTTTACTGCTCGATTTAGTGTTTCTCGAGTCAGGAAACCCGACGGAGCTTAGGCAGTGCTCAATTTTTTTCCCGCGTGAAGTCTGCCAAGCTTAGGCCGTAGGAACAAGGGGGTACTGTATACGCACTCAGAAATGGTCAGGGTAGAAACAAAACTTTTTCTGCCGCCCAGTTTCAGGGTGTGATATTACCGCGGGCTACGTGTATTCAGGGGCGTGAATCTGAATGCCTAGTGAACAGGCAAAAGGAGAAAGCCTGGGATGGGTGGATCTTGCAAGTCAGGTCAGGTCAGGAGGAAGTAGGCGGGAGGGTGAGGAGGAGAGGGAGCAGGATGGTCTGTCTGTCAGGGAGGAGAAAGTTGACGACCGTTTGAATTCGCCGCTGCTGGTCCACACATTTCCCGTCAGACGACTTCGGCGAAGCGCATTTCCTCGTTAGTGTTATCAATCAGCGGGCAAGAGTTGACGGAGACTGTATGTCGGAGAGCATGTTGATTACACTACCTTCTGGCAAATTCTACTTTTTTTCAAGCATTTATGCATCATTCCTTGTTTATGTCAAATCAACACTGCAGTCAACTATTCAACAAACGACCACAAGGTGATGGGCAGCATGCCGTACAGAAAGTTGTAGTATTGCAACCCTGAAGAGTGGCACCTGGCACCCAGAATATTTTTGTTGGCGTTTGCTACATTCAGAGAACGGCTCCAGCTAATGCCCCAGATCAAGTTTCCCGCCATATGTCAAAAAGCCCCATGGCACCTTCCTCCAATGTTGCAACGTATGGCCTCCGGTGCATGGTACGGTGAGGTTATCCACCCAAATCATTGTTGGGTTGCGCAAGGAACTGTAACGAGAGGATTGTGGTGGTAACTTGTTCAATTTGTGGTCACATTGCAAAGAGTGAATCCACACGTTCATGCAGCCCTGCTCACTGGTGGACACAAGACAGGACAGGCGATGAGGAAAAATGACTTTTTGAGCACGTGGGACTACGCAACGAGAGGGAAACAGGGATCCAGAGGGAGGCTAAGGGAGATGGAGAGGGAGAGGCAAAGAGAGAGGGGCAAAAGGCCAGCCAAGCACGTGTCGCCAAGAATAACAAAAGGTTATGGAAGCAAATGTCCTGACCAGGAAAAGGGTTTAGGGTTAAGTTTGCGCAGGAAGCGCAGGGCCTTGGCGGTGACTTTGCGCAGCACATGGGGAAGGGTGGAACACACTACTCTGGCATTGACAGGGAAGGGCGAACACATCACTACCCTGGCACTGAAACTGGCGGTCTTACCAGGGTTGAGTTTGCGCAGGAAGCGCAGGGGCTTGGCGGTGACTTTGCGCAGCACATGGCCGATGGCGCGCTTGACCTTGGCTGCTCGCACGGACACGTGGTGGGGGTCCCAGGCTGGACGGGGGTGGAAGGGAAGGCGAAGGGAGAGATCGGAAGGGGGAACAACAAGGGTTGATTGCAGGTCACATGGCCAATGGCACGCTTGACGTTGGCTTCTCGCACTGACACATGGTGGGGGTCCCATGCTGGATGGAGGGATGATGACGGGAGAGATCGGAGGGGGGAATAACACAAGGGTTGATTGCGGGTCCCATGGCCGATGACAAGCTTGTCCTTGGCTTCTTGCACGGACACATGGTGGGCGGTCAAGGTCCAAGCAAAGGCCAAGGAGTGGGTGACTCTGCAGTATGGAGTCAGGAGAAAAAGGAGAGTCTGTGGGGAACTGAGCAGTTGAGTAGTTCAGTTTTGAGACGTCTCAAAACTAAACTACTTAACCACGGTGGCTCTGCAGTCTGGAGAGTCTGGGGAGAAACTGGGCAGTCAACGGAGAGACTTGGGTGCGTGCAGTTTTGTACGAGGATTGAACGTGGCTGTGATTGCACGGAAAAGGTGATTGCAGTTTTGAGCGAGGGGTCAGACTGGGCAGTTGACGGGGAGATTTAGGTGCGTGCAGTTTTGGACGAGAGCTCTAAGTGACTCGTTATTGCACGGCAAAAGTGGCCAAGAAGGTGACAAATCAAGTGACTCCATTTTTGAGGCGCCTCAAAGATTGCACGACTCTATCTCTATGCGTGCAAGCCATGCCCTCACACCCACCCATGCTCTATGGCAATCATCCCCTCACACCCACCCATGCTCTATGGAAATCACCCCCTCACTCCCACCCATTCCCTAGGCACGCCATGTCCCCACACACACGCCATGCCCCCACACGCATGCCATGCCCCCACACGCACGCCATGCCCCCACACGCACGCCATGCCCCCACACACGCATGCCATGCCCCCACACGCACGCCATGCCCCCACACACGCATGCCATGCCCCCACACGCGCATGCCATGCCCCAGCATTCACTTTTGTGCTGGCGGCAGGAGTTGCTGCGGAAACTCATGCCCTGGCAGGCTGGCACACAAGTGCTTTTGGCGCACACACGTCATGCCCTCGCACACATGCCATGCCCTCGCACACAAGTCATGCCCTCGCACACAAGTCATGCCCTCGCACACATGCCATGCCCTCACACACAAGTCATGCCCTCGCACACATGCCATGCCCTCGCACACATGCCATGCCCTCGCACACATGCCATGCCCTCACACACAAGTCATGCCCTCGCACACATGCCATGCCCTCGCACACATGCCATGCCCTCGCACACATGCCATGCCCTCGCACACATGCCATGCCCTCGCACACATGCCATGCCCTCGCACACATGCCATGCCCTCGCACACATGCCATGCCCTCGCACACATGCCATGCCCTCGCACACATGCCATGCCCTCGCACACATGCCATGCCCTCGCACACATGCCATGCCCCGGCACTCACTTTTGTGTTGGCGGCGAGAGTTGCTGCGGAAACTCATGCCCTGGCACACAGAGCAAGAGAGAGGGTGTGTGGTTGGGTGTTTAAGGAAGGTGAAGGGGAGAAGAGGGGGGGGGGGGGGGGGGGGGGGGCGGAGGGGAGGAGGGGAGGAAGAGAGGAAGGGGGGGAGGTAAGGGGAGCTTGAGGAATAAGTGTGAGGGAAGGAGAGCAAACGAGGGGAGGGAAGGGGAGCTTGAGGAATAAGTGTGAGGGAAGGAGAGCAAACGAGGGGAGGGAAGGGGAGCTTGAGGAATAAGTGTGAGGGAAGGAGAGCAAACGAGGGGAGGGAAGGGGAGCTTGAGGAATAAGTGTGAGGGAAGGAGAGCAAACGAGGGGAGGGAAGGGACGGATGGGCGAAGGGAAGGGACGGGGGCACATGCGTGCATCAGGAGGGGCGAGGGAATCGATCAGGATGGAAACAACAGCATGCCCACATTCTCACCACCCACCCCTTGGCATTCTCGGCGTCTTGGCATGCTGCTGCTGGTGCTGGTGCTGCTGCCTCTCCATCACCCCTAGCCATAGTCTCCGCGAGATGCAAAATGCGCCTCAAATACAAACCCATCCACCATGCAGACTCCCCCTCTCCAAACCCATCCACCATGCAGACTCCCCCTCTCCAAACCCATCCACCATGCTGCAGACTCCCCCTTTACAAACCCATCCACTCACCCTTGGCGTTCTCGGCGTTTTCGGCGTTTTCGCATGCTGTTGCCTCTCCATCTCCTCCCTGGCCATCGTCTCCGCCAGGTGCAAATGCGCCTCAATCACAACCCCATCCTCCATAGCAGCCCCATCACAACCACAAACACTCACCCTACACAACCCCATGCACTCACCCTCGGCGTTCTCGGCGTCTTGGGGTGCTGCTGCTGCTGTTGCCTCTCCAACTCCTCCCTAGCCATCGTCTCCGCCAGGTGCAAGTGCGCCTCAAAGATCGCCGGCGACACCTGGCACACGCTCGCAGCAGCCACGCTGTAATCCGCGTACCCGCCCCCCGCGGAGTTATTGAACCGCTCCACATCCCCCATGCTCCCGAAACTCCACGGCGCGGAGAATTCCTCTGTCTGCCCCCCCCCGCCCTCCGTCTCCCCGCCCACGCTCATCCCTGAGAAGCTCGGCGCCCCCCACCCGCTCCTGTCCGCCAAATCCGTCTTCTCCGCCCCGGAATGAGATTCAGCAGCCGCGAACCCGCCCCCCCCGCCCCTGCCCCCACCGCCGCCGCCGCCGCCGCCGCTACCGCTGCTGCTGCTTGCGCCAACACCATCAGCGGCCTCCTCCTCCGGCTCCTCTATATTCATCTGGCGTACCAGCGCGTTCAGCACCCGCCATTTCTTGACAGACGACATTCTAGACATAGTCCTCCCCCCGCCTAGTCTGCTCCCCCCTGCGCCTGCGCCTGCTGCTGGGGAGGCCAGTCCCGCCAGGCCCCGGCCCGACCCCTGCCTCTGGGGCGCGTCAAACCCCCTCCCGGACCCCTGCTTGCGGAACCGCCCGCTGTTGCGCCGCCGGGGGGACTGCGCCGCCACGGGCGCAAGGCACGCGCTCTGCGCCGCCTTCCGCGCCACCCTCTGCGCCGCGGACTCCGCCGCGGATTGCGGCGTGGACGGCGGCATAGGTCCGTCTCGATCAAATGACGGCGTCCAAGGCACGTCGGCTACAGGCGTAGAGGCCACGTCAGTAGCAGCAGTAGAAGGACGAGGAGTAATCTCTAGTGAAGTTACCTCTCGAGGGGGCACCTCCTGAGCGCTCACCTCTTCTTCCTCCTCCTTCAATCCCTCTAGCACTGTGACCGTTTTCAGTTTCGCGCTTGAAGATCCTAAACCTTCGGTACTGTCACATCCACTGTTGCCGCTTCTGACCCGCTCATTCGCGTTACAAGACGCCTCGCGAAGCCCAGTAAGCTCGCGGTTGTGTACCTGGGCGGAAGCGATTAGATTCTTCCAAATCACGTCTTCGGGCCTCTCGACTGGCTCGGCGCGCTTGGCGATGTCGCCTGCGTCGCCGGCGACGTCGGCGAATCGCTTCAGGCCCGGAAAATCAACCGACCCTGATGACGAGATTCGCAGCGAGCTTAGACGCTCAGTAACCCTAGCGCTTGACACGTGGCTCTTGCCCTTGTCCACGTCAACCATCGAAACGGACCGCCGATACGCGCCGGGCGGCGGGCGGAGCGGTTTTAGTTCGGCGGCGGCGTTTCCTGGGGGAGGTTGTGACTGGGGGAAGGCGAACGCGGGGGGACAGGAGGGCCGTTCGCGATAGAGGGGGGCGGAAGGGGGCGCGGATGGGGGCGCGGAGGGGGGATTGGCGGGATGCGGGGAGTCGTCAGTGGGAAGACCGGGGGACGACTTGTTACTAGACGCGTTAAAACTGCTACCTGCTACCCAATCTACTACCCCAGCCGCGCCGCTGCTCACGCTGCTCGCTCTGCTGCCGTGGCTGGCTTTCTCGTGCGGCGGATTCGCGGAACCATCCTTCTTGAATGGCGTCAACCGGCTGGCTGCTACACCCTCCTCCTTCTCCCCGGCCGTCTCCCCTCCTTCCCTTGCCTCGGTTTCCCCCTCAGCAGCATCCTCTTCGTCATTCCCCTCGTCGTCATCAGCAGCAGCAGCAGCGGAAGCAGCAGACGCGCGGGTCTGTTTAGCTGCCTGCGTGCGGATCCAGTCCTCGTCTACTTGATCCATGAGCGACTCGCCGTACGCGTGACCCCGTGGCGACACCGGCCAGGAAGATTCGCTGCCACCATGCTTCTGCGCCGCTCTGGGCGACGCTTGCGACTGCGACTGCGACGGTGCATGCGACGGCGCGTGCGACAGCGACCGCGAGCTTAGCGAAAGGCGGCTACACTCCGACGGCTCGCTGTTACAGCTGGACGTGCTGAAGGCGACGGGAGGCAGTCCTGGGAGGAGCGGAGCGGGGTGCGAAACCCCTGCGACAATTGGCGTCTGCGACGCGACGGCGCTCGCTAGGCAGTCGTCGAGGAATCGCTCGAGCTGCATTGCTCGCATCTTGTCGCACAGCTGCCGGTCCTCGTTCATCTGCTCGGCGTCATCCGGGTCTGGTTGCAGCAGGAGCAGCCGCGGCTGCGATTGCAGTTTCTCAAGATCCTGCGCGGTCTTGACGTAGCCCTTTGCGGTTGAGTGCGATTCAAGAAAGGCCGGCGAGAAAACGTCCGAGCTGCGGGAGCGAGGAGAAAACGCAAGTTCAGACATGAGGGGAGCGGGGAAGCTTCGTTGCGGTATTACGGGAGAAAAGGCCGATTTAGATGTTAAGGCCGGGGTAGGAGGAGGAGCGTAGGGAGGTAAGTAAGAGTTCAACGGCGGAGGGTCGTCGCCCCATTGTTCGTCCGCCAACGCAGCGGCGACCTTCCTAATTTGAGAAACTGCAATCGCCATACTCGCGTCTGTCAGGACCTATACGAGTCTTTCGGAAGGACGAGGTCTTTCTAGTATGCTTGAACGCTGGTTCAATCAGTCGGCTCGGCTGCACTCTAAAGCTGGAGATTACAACTGCGCGACTAGCGTGCAATCGGTTAGAACCACGTGCTTCTGGAAACGGCGGCCAGGAGCGAGGTGAACGAAAAAGTGCTGATGGGGGGGATGGTGCAAGAACCTCCTAACAACAAGGAAGCATCTGACAAGGTTCTTTTCTCCTCTCTACACCATGGATGGCAGTCCTGTCACATCTGTGGAGTGCATCGGGATTGGTCAGAGGAGTCCAGACTCTGGACCCCATCCCATCCCATCCAAAATGGAACAAGCCGACAGGCGGCCACGGCAGACCAACCTTGGGGTTGGTTTAGTTGGGCGGAGGAATCGCGGGAGGGATCTGGGGGGTGTGCGCAAGAGGTTTGGGCGGCGAATCAGGGAGCTTGGGCGGAAGGAGTTGGCTTGACGGGGAAGTGCCCGTGGCAGAATGGCGGGATGCCGGGTAAGGGGGGAAGGGGAGTCTCACCGCTGTCACCGCGGCGGGGGAAACGGTGAACACCTAAAGAAACTGGAAGCATTTTGATTGGCTGACGGGAGGTCGCTTGTGCGTGCATGGCCCAGTTGGGCTTGCCGAGAAGAGTTGCCTTCCACAAGGAGTAAGCTTGCGACGCCGTTCACACACCGCAGCACGTCGCACACCGTCGCTAACTTCGCTGACGGTAGTCTTGATAGCGACACCGTACACTACTATGGGACGAGAGTGGCTGAAATAGCCAGCAAGTCACCGACGCCTAAAACGATTGTCACCGCTTTCCGCGTCAACCCATAACTCGAGTGATGGTATCGAGGTGCATTATTGACAGGGCTCGCTGCGACAACTGGCGAGTGGGCGTCTCCTGGTCGTTAACTGGCTTAGGACTGTCCACCTCAGCACTAGTTGGCATGCACCTACCGTAAGCGACGTGTGACGGGGTTTGTAACTTGGTCGCACAGTTCCAGTCTCTGTCGCAACCACCCGCCGAGGCCAGGAGATCAATATGTGCGTCGCCAAAACCTCCATAGTAGACAAGAGCTGAGTTCGCAATAGAGATTTTGCACACTCGTATAGTTCCCACCTGTCGCCTGTATGAATTGTATCAAACAACACTATTGAGAACCGGTTAAGCAAAAACGTTGCACATTGGTTCCGACCTTTGGGGCTGTTAAACCAACCAAGCATCGAGTAGATGCAAAACCGCATTGGTGTCAGATCGAGCATTTAGCTAGGTTGCCTTGCATCAGCCAACGCCATGTCTCCATGAGAAGCAGACATGGCTGCCAAGTGTGAGGTGAAATCCACCCCATTGGCGTCACAGCCTCGCTGCACCACTTCAAGCATCAGAGCCGTTGGTTCAATTCCCCGAGAGCGCGCTCGTGGAATGAGAGAGAGGGCGGCCTCCCAGTGACTGGCGTCAGCGAGAGCTATGGCGGCTTGTTGATAGGTGGTGGCATTGGGTAGAACTTTGGGGGATGCTTCCATCTGTGCAAAGAAAGCAACAAAGGAGGATGAGATTTTTGAAAGATGAGAGAGGTGGTTCGCAGAAGGCAAACACGAACAAGTGCTGCATTGATTGGCGAGAGCAACAATAAACAGGAGCGTTCACTTACCTTGTGCAACCAGTCGAGTGCCCGCAGCCCTTCTCCAGCATGCGCACAAGCAGTCACCATGGCGTTGAACGCTGCCACATCAGCACCCAGGAGATGCTCTCTGTCCAAAGCAGCGGCTGATTCATCAGGCCTGCTGTGCCCAAGCACAGCCACCAGCTCCTCCCCTGTTCCCCCCTGCCTCGACAGAGCAACCCCACTAGCGTCGCTCCAACTGCTGCCACCGCTTCTCCTGCTACTGCTGCTGCTGCTGCTAGCCGTTCCTTGAAGCTCCTCGAAGAGAGCTGCAGCTCGCCCGTATTCCCCTCTCTTCCCCAGCGCAACAATCATGGTGGTATAAGCCTGCCTGTTTGGCTCCACCCCCATCTTCCTCATGTGCCCCCACACTGTCTCCGCTGGCTCTAACAAATCCCCCTTTTCCAGCGCACTTAGCAAAGCGCCGTACGCCACTGCATCCGCCCGAATCCCCGTCTCCACCATGTCTTCGAAGACCTTAATAGCAGTCGCAGTTTCGTTGGCTTTCGCGCATGTCACAAGCACGGTGCGCCATGCAAAGGCATCCGGGGGAAGGCCTGCAGATTCCATTTTGGAGAGAAGAGAAAGGGCCCACCTCCAGAGTCCGCGCTTCCGGGCAGCCGTCAGCAAAATGTTAAAGTGCCCGCGAATGAGCCGCTCCGTGGCAGCGGTCGGCGCAGGCCCCTGCGCCTTCATCGACTCGAAAACTTCCAGCGCTGCCCACCACTTCTTCGCCCTGCCTAGCGCCCCAATCACCTGGTGACACGTGTCCAGGGCAGGGACAAATCCATGGCTGCGCATGGCAGCAAAGAGGGTGCGAATCTCCCGCTGCCTGCATGTCCCATGCCCATGCCCATGCTTGCGGTGGGGCGTGCCCACGGCCTTAGAAGTGCCCACCACCTTAGCAGCTCCCATGCTGAGATCATCCAGGCAGCATGCGTGCAAGGCCAGGCGGTAGGTGTCCGCATCCGCTTTAATCCCCACCGTTTCCATCTGGTGCAGCAGCCACAGCACCCTAGACGCCCCTGCCGTGCCATGCCCCATCATCCCCTTCCCAGCTCCCCCTCTCCCGGCTCTATCCCCTTGCACCCGCCCCCCCTCTGCTCCACTCTCTCGCCCACCCTCCCCCCCCCGAAAACCCCTCCCAGCGTCATCTTTCCCTGCCCTTCCGTGGTGCTCTTTTGACCACTCAGCTGCACCATCCCCAAACTCCTGCTCCTCCTGCTCCTCCTCCTCCTCCTCCTCCTCTTCCTCTTCCTCCTCCTCCTCCTCCTCCTCCTCCTCCTCCTCCTCCTCCCGAGCATCCATTCCTTCAGCAGATTCGCGCCTGGAAGCCCCATCTGCTGCTGCTACTGCACCCGCGCCCGCTGTTACTCCTACTGCCACCGTCGCCGCTGCACCAGCAGCAGCAGCAACCTCACTGTGCCCGGCTCCTCCCTCTCTCTCCACCACACCTGACGCCGTCCCTACTGCTATCCCTGCCTTTGCACTAGCAGCTGCCATGTCTGCGTCTACCTGTGCTGCCTCCTGCGTTAATGCGGCTGCCTTATTGCTCACTTGTCTCTCCAGCGCGCCAACTATCCGCCTCATCTCCTGGTTGCACGCGAACCTGAGCGCTGCTGCCACCTCCTGCCGCTGCTGCTGCTGCCGAGATAAACCAGCTCGGAATTTCTCACTCCCCTCACTTCCTCTGGCTCCTCTTCTGCTGCTACCCTCGCTCCTACCGCTGCTGCCATTTCTGCTGCCGCTGCTGCTACTGCTTCCGCCGCCACTGCTGCCGCCGCTGCTGCTGCTGCCGCTGTTGGCACTGACCGAATCCAGAGCAAGAGCGTAAAGCGCCAGCGCTCGCTCGACCACCCGCCCCCTGCGGCACACAGGCAGCATCGTGCGCACCGTGAACAGGTCCGGCCGCACAGACCAGCCCTCCGCAAGCTGACAAAAGCCCCCGCCCAGCTCCTCTGAATGCGCGGCCTTTGTGGGATCGGACGCAGTTACTAGGTGCTGTGGGACTGTTGCGGCGTCGCTTAGCGTGCTACGCTCAGTCGGCTGCTCATGCCCCCCCTTTTGCGAACCTGGCTCATGCCTCACCCTCAGCGAATCCGGCTCATGCTTGCTGCTCTCTGGAACAGTCGCTTTCTGCGCCCTGGGTTGAACGTCTAAGGGCTTCCGCGACTTGTGAAACGAGGAGTAATGAATGCCGAGTTTTGCGAGAAGGTTCCACGCTGCTTCGTCCTTCCCCTGAGTGTCTAAGGCTGCCAGGAGCGTGTTCAGAGTGACGACATCTGGCGGCACGCCATTGGCCGACATCCACCCCGCTACCTCCTCCATCCTTTCCCATTCCCCATTGGCTTTAAGCGCTCCTAATAAACTATTGTAGGTGTACACGTTAGGCTCTGACAGTCCCTTCCACCTTGCTTTCCTTGCTTCCTCATGTTCAGAAACTGCTCGTTCCTGTGCGTGCTGATTTCTTTCGGAATCACCTTCAGAAGGCATACCAGTATTTGAAGAGTCGATTCCGCTAGTGTCGGAACCAAAAGCACGCTGCAGCCAATGGAAAAGCGCCAGCGTAGCACCGACTTGCCGCTCAATCCCGAGCTTCTGCAGCACGGACGACACCACCCGCGCGGTCACCTCCTCGCCTTCCTCCTCAGCGACGGCCATCACCGTATCCACTGCTGCCACGTCATCCACGCCACGTAGAGCCCACGTCAGCGCGCGGACGAGAGCGGTGGATTGCCGGTCCGTTGCACGCCGCTGAGCCTTCTCCAGCGCTATCCGCTCGCGAATCTCCTCGGTCGATCGAGCTCTCCGCGGGTGGCTCGGCGCGCTTCCTCCTGCCAGCCTTCCGCCATGGATTTCGAATCTCCCGCCGTGGAGATCGTCAGAACCAGTCACGAGCCCCTCTGTCTCGTGAGCTGGCACGGCGAAACCCCCAGTCAGGGAACGCGAATGCTTATCGGAGTCAATGATTGACGGATTCCGTCGAGATTCGGCAGAAGCAGTAGCGGCGTTGTCGGAGCTCACGTCCGCAGGAACGGCAACGTGGCACGTTAGGCGCGATGTCCTCGCCAGACCGATTGGTCTGTCCCTTTTAGGCCCTCTGACTCTTCTGCTGCTCAAGCCGTACCGATGCGACTCCGAGATTTGACATTTTCTGGGCAATTCGCGTATGTGGGAATTCTGAGACGAGCGGACTAGAGCGCTGGGATTGGACCCGGGAATTAAGGGGGGGCATTGAGAGGTTAGAGGTCGATGAGAAACGCGAGTTAACTCCTTCAAAGCACTGTAAGTGGCCATGGGGATTAGCAACCAGCAACGAGCAAGCAGACCCGTGAGCAACGCAACGCGAAGGGGAACCACTCTAGCGGATAGGAACAGGAATGCGCATCTTTTTCCAGGCGCAACGGTAACCGCGCTCACGATGGGACGCTCGTAAAGAGAAGGTGTAAGGAATGAAGTGTAAGACGCTGGAACGGGGAGGACGAAGGAGAGGCAGGAGAAAAAGAGTGCAGCTGAAGACGAGAGGATGAAAGAACGGAAGGTGGATTTAGGTGTGCTTTTGCTTTCTGAAAACACGGCGACCTGTTCTACAGGCAGCCAGGCAAGTGTGCTCTGGCGGCGGTGACATTCCCAAGGGATGAGTGGAACTCCAATGGTTGCGCGGGAACGTTGCGGATTGGCGGGAGAGATTGCTCTCACCCACCTCGGAATCGCGTGCTGTGCTATACAAAATGTAGGGTTTCATATTTTGTCGACCTTGAAAAACAGAGTCACTGTGTACTGTAGCTGCTTTGCTTTTTGCGAGTACAGCACTGTAGGACCTTGTATCGGCGATAGGGAGCCCCTGACGTGGCGTATAGAGAGCGGCCCAACTTACCGCACCAATCAACCAGGCCCGCGATATTGTCAACTGTCGAAGTGCATCCCCCTCGTGCCCTTTCCCCCAACCCAAATTCTGAACTTTGATCAGGGAAACTCGCCGCAATAAAGTTCGGTCTTTATCGTTTTGAGACGATGAAGCTCGGTTTTATAGCACCATGTGAGAGGTCGGCTCGGTTTCATGCTAGCTCGGAATCTGCGTGCTAGTTCCAGCACTGACGGTCTCGAGCCGCTCTGTCTTTAGGTGCTAAATCGAGCTTTTCGGAACCCTGGTACTCTCGCCGTCGATCGTATCCATGGCTGCGTGCGGATTCGCACGCGCGATCGCTTCGTGCTCGCAGGCTGCTGCTGCGAGCAGGCTCGCCGCTGTGCGACAAGATGCACATGGCGAGTCTCGTCAGGCTCAGCTGAGGTCACGATTTCGATCATCCCCGTTACTAGCTCTCCACCGGCAAGGCATTAATCATTCTCACCAAACCAAGAACAGAAACGCGGGTTACCACACATGTTACAAAATTAGCGGCTACAGGAGAGCGCGTGTGTCGGCAAGCACGGAATCCGAGGCGCGGAGCGGCAATGGCGTCGCTACATCTCAAGGAAAAGACGCGGCATTCCCGGCGTTTCTGCCGCTGCAAGTCGCGGAGCTTGAGGAGGAGGCGGCTCGCCAGCTGGCACGGCGCGTCCAGAGGCTGCCGGTGCAGGTGAGTAGTGGAATGGGTGCATAGAGAAAATAAATAGATGCTTCCAATGCAGGGATGCTTCCAAGGATGCTTCCAGAGATGCTTTCAGGCATGCTTCCAGGAATGCTTCCAGGATGCTTCCACGGATGCTTCCAGGGATGCTCTGCGATTCCCCCATCCTTTCGGCATTATCTTGCCCATTGCTGTGTCCATCCCCTCCCTTCCTGTCCTCTTCCCCTCATCCTTCCCCTTCCCCCCTCCCCTTCCCCCCTCCCCTTCCCCCCTCCCCTTCCCCCCTCCCCTTCCCCCCTCCCCTTCCCCCCTCCTCTTCCCCTTCCCCTTCTCCCTTCTCATCCTCCGCTATCATCCCTTCTCTCCTTCTCTACTTGCATTTCCTCCTCCCCTTGCCTCCTCCTCCCCTCTCCTCCTACCCTCTCCTTCTCCCTTCACCTCCTCCCCCTCCTCCTCCCCTCTCCTACCCCCCTCCTCCTCCCCTCTCCTCCCCCCCTCCTCCTCCTCCCCTCCTATTTTTCAACCTCACCCAGACAAACCTGGCCTCAGAGCCAATCATGAGCAGCTGCATCGTGCCGAAGAATGCCGGCCAGACTGCCGTCCCCATCCTGCTCTTCCATGGCTTTGACAGGTCAGTCAACGTTATGGGACCAGCTGCTGACGTGTCAGTCAACCTTATGGGACTAGTTGCTGTTGGAGAAGGGCATTTGACCAACCGTGGAGGAGTGCGTCTTGGGGGAAATGTGAATGAAAAGAATGTAACTTCTTAAATCCTCAAACCCCCCCCCCCCCAGCTCCTGCCTGGAGTGGCAGCGCATGTGCGAGCGCCTGGAGGAGCGGAGTGTCCTGGGGAAAATGCGTGAGGAGTCTATTTTTGAGGCGCCTCAAAAATAGTGTCCTGGGGAAAATGTGAATGGAAGTTGGTTTACTTCTTACCCCCCTCCCCCTCTCTCTCCCCCTTCTCCCCCCTCCCCCTCCCCCCCCCCCCAGCTCCTGCCTGGAGTGGCGGCGCGTGTACGAGCGCCTGGAGGAGGGCGGAGCAGAGCCGTGGGCGGTAGATACCCTGGGGTGGGGTTTTTCAGACACCACTAAGGGTGAGTCGTGGGCTTCTCAGACACTGCCAAAGGTTGGTTATGAATTGATTTATTGAATATAGGGGCTTGATTGGGTTGCTTGCCCCCTCGTAGCAGCAGGGGGCAGCAGAGGCGTGGGCGGTAGGCACTCTGGGCTGGGGCTTCTTAGACACCACCAAAGGTGAGTCGTGGGCTTCTCAGACACCACCAAAGGTGAGTCGTGGGCTTCACATGAAGCTCTTACTTCGCCTGCTGGGTGGTAGACACCTTTGACCGGGGCTTCTCTTTTTGGAGCACAGGTGTGGGCAGTGGGACACTCTGGGGCGGGGCTACTCTCTTGTCACATCGTGTGAACTTTCGAGTCGAATCAAAATAAATATTTTCTCCTCTCTCCCAGCTCAACATGTGCAGAGCATTCGGTCTCAGAGAAAACACGAGGCGACTCTTGGGTCGACTCAAGAGTCAAAAGAGATCAGTTTCTCCTCTCTCCCGTCTCGACATGTGCAGAGCGGGCCATTCGATCCTTTTCTGTGGAGGCCAAGAGGGAACACTTGTATCAGGTACTGCCTGCACCAGGTACTGCCTGCACCAGGTACTGTGTTGTGTTGTGTTCTGTGCCTTTATGATGAGGTGACTCCTGAGTTGACTCAAAAGTGTGAATGCAGAGAGGGGCACTCGGTCCTTTTCCGTCGAGGCCAAGAGGAAACACCTGTACCAGGTACTGCTTGCACCAGGTATTGCCCGCACCAGGTACTGCCTGCACCAGGTATCGGCCGCCCTGCCCTGCTGGTTGCCCTTTCTTTAGACTGAATAGCCATATCATTGTTGACTTTTGAGTTGACTCAAAGGCCATAGTTCTGCCGTATTATTCTTAGCCCATCCGTCCCCCCCACCCCTTCCGTCCCCCCCACGCCTTCCGCCCCCCCCACCCCTTCCGTCCCCCCCACCCCTTCCCTTCCCCCCCACCCCCCGTGTTCTCCCCAGTTCTGGCGGCAACACCTAGGGGGCCGCCCAGCCCTCCTGGTTGGTCCTAGCCTGGGGGGCGCTGCTGCAATCGATCTGGCGGTGCACCATCCTGATGCAGTAAGATGAGCACTGTTCGCATGTGCGACTGTCATTGTGACTGTGATTGTCATTGTGATTGTGATTGTGACTGTGATTGTGATTGTGACTGTGATTGTGATTGTGACTGTGATTGTGACTGTGACTGTGACTGTGACTGTGATTGTGACTCCTCCCCGCCTTCTCCCTCCTCTCCTCCCCGCCTTCTCCCTCCTCTCCTCCCCTCCCCCCAAAGCCCCACCAGCCATCGGGCCTAGTACTGCTTGACGAACAGGCGTTTGAAGAGGAAATGGGCACTCTCGCTGTTACATAAGAATACACATCTTCTTTGCCCCCCCTCCTCACCTCTTCCCCCCCCTACCCACACGCACACCCTGCCAATGCCCCACCAGCCAGCAGGCCTGGTGCTCTTGGACGCTCAGGCGTTCGAAGAGGGGGTGGGCCCTCGTGCTGCGACGCCAGAATACACATCTTCTTTGCTCTCCTCCATTCTCCCCCCTCTTCTTTCCGCGCTCCCCCTCTTCTTTCCGCGCTCCCCCTCTTCTTTCCGCGTTCCCCCTCTTCTTTCCGCGCTCCCCCTCTTCTTTCCGCTTTCCCCCGTCGCTTCCCCGGCCCCCACCCCACCAGCCAGCAGGCCTGGTGCTCTTGGACGCTCAGGCGTTCGAAGAGGGGGTGGGCCCTCGTGCTGCGACGCCAGAATACACATCTTCTTTGCTCTCCTCCATTCTCCCCCCTCTTCTTTCCGCGTTCCCCCTCGCTTCCCCCGCCCCCGCCCCCACCCCACCAGCCAGCAGGCCTGGTGCTCTTGGACGCTCAGGCGTTCGAAGAGGGGGTGGGCCCTCTTGCAGCCCTGCCAAAGTTTCTGGCTTATGCTGGGGTGAGTCCTGCGTCTTATTCCCTTTCATCGCCTTATTCCTGCATCGTCCCGTTCTTTGGAGTTCTTCTCTCTTTCTCTCGCTGTTTTGCTTACCCCTATCCTGTTGCTTGCCCATACGGGCGCGCGGGCATTTGAATGTGGGTATGCACGAAGTGACTTTTGAGTACTGAAGACTTGCCCATTCGGGCGCATGGGCACTGAAGACTCAAAAGTCACCTCATTTGAATGTGGGTGTGCACGAAGCCTTGTATGTGTGCGCATATCCTGGGTGTGTGCATGCATGCGTGTGTATCTGTACCTGCCGTACTTTGAATGGGAGCATCTGTATGTGTGCGTGTGTGTATGGGGGGGGGGTTGGGGGGTGGCTGTGTTTGTGTTTGTGTGTCTGTGTCTGTGTGTGCATATCCTGGGTATGTGCGTGCATGCGTGTGTGTCTGTACCTGCCGTACTTTGAATGGGAGTGCCTGTATGTGTGCGTGTGTGGGGGGGTGGAGGATGTGTGTCTGTGTTTGTGTTTGTATGAGTGTGTTTGTGTGCGACGTCTTGTGTAAATGCATGGCAGGTAGCTCTGCTAAAGAGCGTGCAACTGCGCACGTCGGCTGTTAAAATGGCATTCCACGACAAGGCAGAGTCAACTGCGGACGCCATGAACGTATGGCTGTAGCGCATGGGCAGTAGAATGTATGGCTGTAGCGCATGGGCAGTAGAATGTATGGCTGTAGCGCATGGGCAGTGGAATGTATGGCTGCAGCGCATGGGCAGTAGAATGTATGGCTGCAGCGCATGGGCAGTAGAATGTATGGCCGCAGCGCATGGGCAGTAGAATGTATGGCTGCAGCGCATGGGCAGTAGAATGTATGGCTGCAGCGCATGGGCAGTAGAATGTATGGCTGCAGCGCATGGGCAGTAGAATGTATGGCTGTAGTGCATGGGTGCAGCTATGCACGTCGGCTGTTAATTGGGATTCCATGGCAAGACAGAGTCAACTGCAGACGCCATGAAGGAATGTGTGTGTGTGTGAGTGAGTGAGTGAGTGAGTGAGTGAGTGATTGACGACAAGACAATCCACTGAAGATGCAATGATGTGTGTGTGTGTGTGTGTGAGTAAATGAGTTGTCAAGCCATGAGTTACAACTTCCCTCCTTCCACTCACAACTTCCCCATCGTCCTGTAGGTGATTTTTGAGTCGACTCAAAAATCACCTTCCTTCCACTTACAACTTCCCCATCCTCCCCTCTCACCTCAGGTCGATTGCCTGCGCTGCCTGATGCCCGACTGGGCAGACTGCTGAGAAGCAGTGACTGGGCAGACTGCTGACCTCACCCACCCATCTCCCTCTCTTCCTCTCCATCCCCCTCACCTCCGGTGTACTTCGAGTCGATTCAAAATGCACCCATCTCCCTCCCTCCCCTCCCTCCCCTCTCACCTCAGATGTATTTTGAAAGACGGGTGTATTCTCACCTCTCCCCTCCCCTCCCCTCTCTTCCTCTTTGTAATCCCCTCTTACCTGCCTGCAGGTCGACCGCCTGCCTGCACTGCACTGCTTGACGCGTGACTGGCAGACTGCAGAGCCATTGTTGGCAAATCATGAGTTACAGCTTCATGGGCGAGTTGTTGATTTGAATGCCTGCACTGCACTGCACTGCACTGCACTGCACTGCACTGCACTACACTGCCTGCTTGACGCCTGACTGGCAGAATGCAGAGCCAACGCACAGCTTCATCGGCGAATTGTTGATTGAATGCCTCCCCCCCTCCCCTCCCCTCCCCTCCCCTCCCCTCCCCTCCCCTCCCCTCCCCTCCCCTCCCCTCCCCTCCCCTTCCCTTCCCACCTCGCAGGTCAGACGCCTGCACTGCCTGCTGCCTGACTGGCCAGAGCGTAGAGTGTGCTCATTCAAAGTCTCTACTAGGCAAACTGTTAAGCCAAAGCCTCCTCCCCTCCCCACGTCTCACTGCCTGATGCCTGACTGGGCAGACTGCTCTCTTCCTCCTCACCCACCCAAACTCTCCTCTTTCTTCCGTTCCCTCCCCTCTCACTGCAGGTGGGCCGCCTGCACTGACTGCTGCACGGCTGGGCAGAGCGTAGACTGCTAAGCCAAAGCCCGACTGACTGGCCTAAGCGAACTGCTAAGCCAAAGCCTCCTCCCCTCCCTCCCCTCTCACTGCAGGTGGGCCGCCTGCACTGCCTGATGCCTGACTGGGCCGACGCCATGGTTGATTTCATGCGCTCGGGCGGTTACCACGTGTCCAAGAGAGTGGGCGAGGTGAGTGACTGACAGCTGTCTAATGCTCTAATGCTCTAATGCTTCGCCTGTGCTCCGCCTGTGCTCCATACATCCCTTGTTATCCTTGATATCATGCGATCGGGCGGCTGCCACTTTTAAAAGGGAGTGCGCGAGGTTAGTGGGTTATCGTCCTTGCTTGAAGGCATTTGTGTTTTCTGTCCCTTTACTTCGTTCTTATTCCATTGTTCCTTGGGCGTTTGCACGTGCCTATGCATGTGCATGTGTGCTTGGGCGTTTACACATGTGTGGGCATGCGAACGTCCACATGAATGTGCATGTGAACGGGTGCGTTCATGCATGTGCATGTGCATGTGCATGTGCATGTGTATGTGTATGTGTATGTGTATGTACAGGTGTCTCAGCCATCCCTGGTGGTTTGGGGGAGTGAGGATGAAATTCTAGAAGCCAGCCTGGCAGAGGTGCGTCAACCATGCATGCATGCACAGACGTCTGCATGCTCAACGAGCAACGAGCCTGATGCCGTCATGCCGTCAGTGCTTTTTCATTAATCTCAAATGCATATGCGCACGCACACACATATATGCACTTACACCCAAAACTGACCATTGGCAGTCACAGAAATCACTCCCAATAGCCACTTCACTTCACTATTCATTACACTCTTTCCCACTTTCTCCGGTTAGGCTGGGACCCTGAACTGCAGGGGAGTGGTGCGGGTGCAGTGCAGGGGGTGTGGCCATGCCACACCCCTCCATCACACTCACAACTGCTGCTCATTCCCTCGTCCTTCCGTCACTCGTGCTCTCGTGCAACGCCTCAAAGCGGAGCTGTCACGGCAGGGTGCAGCTGCATCCTTTGCCCAACAGTCCTCACTTCACATGCACACCCCCTCCGCTTCCATTTCTCTGCCTCGTTCTCCCTCTCTTCCCGCCCCCAGCGTTTCAGAGCCGAGTTACTGGACTGCAGGGGTGTGGAGCAGGTGATTTTTTAGTCGACTCAAAAATCTCCCTCTCTTCCCGCCCCCAGCGTTTCGGAGCCGAGTTACTGGACTGCAAGGGGGTGGAGCAGGTGGAGGGGTGTGTGGCTGGATCCTCTGAACCGCAAGTCACCGCTTCACATACCCTCCTCTTCCCCCTCTCTGCCCTGGCCTGCCTCTTTTCCTTACCCCAGTGTTTCGGAGCCGAGTTACCGGACTGCAGGGGTTGGAGCATGTGCAGGGGTTCGGGTACATCCCTTACTCCGACTGACACCCCTCTCGTGCTACCTGTTTGAAACGTGTCTTGATTGCCCTTTCCTGTCCCCAGCGATTCAAGGTGGAGCTACCAAACCGCAGCAAGGTTCGACAGGACCTCACTTTCGTTCACTTGCCTTCTCTTTCCGCTTCTGCCTTTTGACTGCAGCGTTTCAAGGCCGAGCTACCAGACTGCAGGGGAGTGGTGCAGCTGGAGGGGTGCGGGCACATCCCCCACGTGGAGAGGCCTGCTGATGTGGCACAGCTGATTCTGGATTTCTGCTCGCAGCTGCAGGCTGAGAGGGAAAGGGAGAGTGCCGGGGAGGCGAGGGTAACTGTGGCTTGAATTGTTCAATAGACATACCATACCATGGGCATCCGGGTTTCCACAGTGATTAGTGTAGAGTTCCTCCCATGCATGGAGTATGCACTAATTGAGCACTATTGGCACCAACGCCAAGGACGTGCACTCGACATTGAAGGTGCCATGGTGGGTTTTTGTCCTCGACATCTAGGGAGACAATAAAAGGTGCGTCGTGTGGTTCCCTGGGTTACATGCGCACGAACAAGTTAGAAAATGTCCCCTAGTTCTCATACAGCATGCCTGGAGTACGTTATTGGATATGGCATGGTAAGATATGATCTTGTACTCTGAAGTCATGTGAAGCGGCATCAATTTCATATTTGAGGAAACATTCAAAACATTTCAGGTGTATCGACAAATTGTACAATTATTGACTCGATTCAACGCATGGTATCTAGCCTCGAGGTTGGGAATATTCTTTACCACAAACACGTAAGCACAAGTGTTTCTGATCCGAACCATAAACTTTTCGCGGACGTCGGTGCTTTGGTCGGAGATATCGAGGGTGGCACCCACGCGAAAGGCATGGCTCAACGCTCCCCAGGCTGGTCTGACCCCTCCCTGCCCAATCCAACCTCGAGATTTCATTTCCCGCCACTTTTTTCTCCCCACACACCCCTCGCTTCTTGGGCTTGCTAGCCTTCTTCCACCTGCTGCTGCTCCATCTGCTGCCATTAGTTTCAAGCTTAGTCAAGCCCTTGAATGTGTCTCACCAGCAGTTCCGGTACTAAATCTATCAGCAAATATTGCACAGTTAGCAGGCTGGAAATTCTGGTCAGCGTTTCGAAGGGCCTTACTCTCCTGATCGTTGTGATCGCGATTATGGCGGAACGGCTACTCAGAGCCATACCTTGGGGAACGAGCCCAGATTTGAGCCTGGAAGAGAGGCTCGTGCCGGCAGGATCCTCTTCAGAACTGACCAACGGGGAAAGAATGTCGTCGACGGAACCGTTGGATGCAGGATGCGACGATTTCTGCAAGCAGTGGTCGCGAAGCAAGCGACGAGTCGCGTTATTCGTGGAGCCTTCGCCGTTCGCGTAAGCGTCGCGATCTCTCTATTGTCACGGTTTCTTAGCGACTCGGCACCTCGAATGGCAATCTTTGTCGTTTTACTCACGATTTCCACTTTGATGGCGGTGCAGATACGTCTGTGGTTACAAGACGCGATTCCAAAATTTCATTCGCCACTTACGGGATATGGGTGACGAGGTAAGCTTGGAAAAGCTGTCTGCTTGGAAGAATAACGTTCATCCTCTCCCTCCCCTCCCTTCCCCCCTCTTTCCCTAACATCTCTCACCCGTCCCCGCAAGTTTCTGCTCCCAAGCTGATAGTAAAGTATTCCTCTGTGCAGGTGCTCGTGGTGACGACTCACAAGGGAGCTCCCAAGGAATTCCTGGGAGCTAAAGTGATTCCTTCTCTAAGGTACGATTCGTTTCTTTCGTCTCAGCTACAGTCTCCACCGCTCGCCTATCGCAGCTTCCTAGCAGTTACCTGAAGGTGCTTGTTTATGTTTGTTTTTGTTTCTGTTGTTCTCGTGGTTCCAGTTTCCCATGCCCGTGGTACATGAATGTTCCTCTCGCGCTGGGGATCAGCCCACGGATCGTCTCTGAAGTGGCCAAGTTCAAGCCTGACATCATCCACTCCACTTCGCCAGGAATCATGGTGAGCTTTCGAGACTTAGAGAAGAGAGTGCTTTCTTGTCTTTACAGCAGGTGTTAAGAATTGCTCATGATTGCTCATGAAGTGGCTGCGTTCAAGCCTGACATTATCCACTCCACCTTGCTGGGAACATGGTGAGCTATTGACGCTGAAGGAAGAGTGCTTTATACGAGTAACACAGCCGGGTGTAGGGAAGGGATTGACTCTTGAGGTGGATATTTCAAGCCTGACACCATTAATTCCTCCTCGCCGGGAATCAAGGTGAGTAATTGAGCCTTAAAAGAGAGTGCTTCACATGATTGCTGCAGCAGGCTTTAGGGATTGTCTCTGAAGTGGCTGGGTTTAAGCCTGGCGTTACACACTCCACCCCGCCGGGAATCATGGTGAGTTAACTAAGCTTTATAAGAGAGTGCTACATCAAGCACATGGTCATGGACGAAATAGCGTCTCACCAGAATCGTATCCATAAAAGCCAAAAAATAGGTCTTTCAAACCAGACGGTTGAGCAGCACTTGACTGAGTGCAGACATTTTGCATCAATTCCTACCCCCCGTTCCTCTGGCTGGCAGTGTTTTGGAGCCGTTTTGTAGGCGCCTGAAAAGGAATTGACAGTGTGCAGACATCGTGCATCAATCTGTGCCACTGTCCCCCCGCTCCGTTGCCTGGCAGTGCTTTGGAGCCATGGCAACAGCAAAGCTGACGCAAACGCCCTTCATGCTCTCATATCACACACACGTCCCAGCGTAAGGCTCTCCCACACTCCCGCTTCTTTTGAGGCGCCGATTCTCTCGCGTCACACACACATCCCACCGTAATCCCTCCTACTTTCCCGCTTCGTTTTGAGGGGCCTCAAAGCTGGACTTCTACAACGCAAACGAAGATCAGGCTCTCGCATCACACACACGTCCCAGCGTAATGCCCTCCTGCACTCCCACCGCTTGTATTCGTTGTTCTTTTCATTTTCGCACGAGTTCCTGTCTGTTGCTCATGGGTTTGTCCAATAACAGCAGGCTTGTTGGTGGCTGTGTGTTGTGCCCCATGGCTGCTGTACTGAACTGTCTGCAGGTACATACCCAAATACACTTTTCCAGGACTAGTGGAGCCCATGTGGAAAGTCATCCGTAAGTTGCCCTCTCCCTGTGTCCTCCGTTTGCAACACTTTCCTGCTTTCCCGTCCTCTTGCTGTCACACTCTAGGTCCAGCTCAAATCTCTCCATTAATTTTGTTCTTTTGACCCCCCCGGTTTTAACTGCGGTTATCCGCGTCTTTCATTTCTTTCGATCCCTCGTTTCAGGGTTCTTGCATCGAGGGGCGGACCACGCCATCACGACGTCGCATGAGCTGGCCAAGGAGCTTAAAATGCACAACGCCATAGCAGGTATGGATTGCTGGTACTGCCTTGGCTTGGCCCTTCTGCCTGTGTGTGCCAATGCATGTGCGGTACTGTCTAGGCCCTTCCAGCAGTGGCGGGAGGGCGGACCACGCAATTATGGCGTTGCATGAACTGGCCAAGGAGCTCAAAGTGCACAACGCTACAGCAGGTAGGTCTTGCTCACTGCACTGCACACACCTGCAAGCAACTGCAGGTGCGTTGCTGGAACTGGCAAGGCCCTTATAGGTGCACGAAGTAACCAAGGAGCTCAAATTTCACAACGCCACAGCTAGCACGCTGGTGCTGGTACTGGTCACACTACCTACCGCCTCAACGGCTGGACGATGCGTTCCAGGGTCAGAGTTTAGGGCACGCTGAATCACAAGTTTCAATTCCTTCTCCCCTCCCTTTCCTCCAACCCCCCACCCCCGTCCCCCCGTCTCCTTCCCTCCTGTGCAGGCGGCAGCAGGCAAATGGGAGTGTGGCCCAAGGCTGTGGATTCTGAGAAGTTCAACCCGCGGTTTCGAGACCAGGAGACACGCAAATTGCTCAGGTATGCATGTTGCCTATGGCGGGCGGCAATTTTTAGTCTTGGAAAATGCCGATCAGGGCGGGCCTGAAGGCAACAGCAGGGAGATGGTCATGTGGCCCAAGGCGGTGAGTCAGGAGAAGTTTAACCCTCAGCTTTGGGGTGAAGAGACGTGTAACTGCTCAGGCATGCCTGTGGCATGTGAGAGCTTCTACAAGGGGTTTGGCTTTGGGGCCGTGACGAGGAAACTGTGGGAGCCGTTGAGGTCTATATCATTCCTGACTGTGTCATCAGCAATGCCAGAAGGACCGAGTTCTCCCTTCGCTGATTTTCTTCTCTTTTCCCCAAAAACGGTCGCCCTTCCCCACCACCCACTGCCCACCCTTCCCTCCTCCCTTTGACCTGCCTCTGTGTGTGTGCATCTGTGTTTCCATGATGCCCTGCTGTGTTGTGCTGCTTTTCCAACAGTGGTGGAGAGGTGGATAAGCCACTGATTGTGCATGTGGGGCGTTTGGGAGCGGAGAAGAACCTCCACCTGCTCAAGCCGTGAGTTGTTATGCTCTCATATTGGTCTGGTCAACGCTCCGCCGAGGCTATTTACTCACCTCTTTCCAATACGAGCAATTCCTCCCTGTCTCTCTTCCGATAATCTATTGCAAGTGCAGCTTTTGAAATTTGAGGCGCCTCAAAAGCTACTGCAAGTGTCAATATTCGCATCTGCTAGCCCTGCTACCACGCTCTACGCTTCTGGCATGCTTTTCCGCCCGATGTCCCCCCCTCCTGTGACACACCTTCTCAATTTCCCCCATTGCCTGTCACTCCGTCTTCCCCAACTTCCATCCCCCCCTCTCTCTCTCTCTCTTCTCCCCCGTTTTGCTCCAAGCAGCATGCTGGACAGGCTCCCAGGGGCACGCCTTGCCTTCATTGGAGATGGACCCTACAGGTATGCTTGGCAAAAGAAAAAAAAACCAAGTCACACGGAGATGGAACCCCGTTATAAGTGCCACCACTTGCACAGTTATTCTCCCCTCACTCGCCCCTGCAATCCCCCCTCTTCCTCCCTTTCTGCTCGAATATCGCCACCACCCCCCTGCCTGCACACCTAGACATGGTTAAAATGCGATGCGATGCGATATCGCATCGCTGCGATATTCTGTTGCAAAAATTGATATCGCATATCGCTTTTTAGGGTGCGATGTTACAAAATATCGCACCCATGAATGCGATATATCGCGCGATGCGATTTAATATCGCATCGCATTTAGGTGTCGGAGGAGAAAAGCAGAACGACAAGGCCGGCTTTCCTAGGTGCGCGAGGAATTTGGTGAGTGAAGTTTAACGGGAGAATGTGATATCGTAGCCCCTCTCTGATGTAAAGCGTGTTAGAGGGGCAGGGGTTGGATTCCATAGATGTGGAGGAATGTAGTGCGGTTGAAGTGGTAGAAATTGGTTGGACTTTCAACCAATTCACTTAGTGGGGGTACAGATTTCAATCAACCCCCTAAATCCCTTTAACCGCACACCACCACATTCCATCCACCACCGCCCATGTCAAAATTTGAACCTCCAACCAACTCCCTTCCTTCAACCGCACTGCACTCCTTTTCAACTAGAATTTCCAACCCTTCCTCTCCAAGCTCCTCACAAGCACCTCCCCATCAATTACGCCAACCCCAAACAGCCGCGCGCAATTTCCGCACGCCATTACAACCAGAGAGCCCTATTTTTTGCTAAGTTCAGGGCCCGCGCCCAAATTCCCCCCCCTTTCTGGCACAAATTTCGCGACGCGATATGCGGATGTATGGTGCGCGATGTTTTAATATCGCATATCGCATTATATCGCGCTGAAAAATCCGCGATAACTGCGCGATATCGCTAAAATCGCGCGATATTATCGCATCGCATCGCATCGCATCGCATCGCGATTTAAAAATAAAAATCGCAATCGCAAAATGCGATAAAATGCGATGCGATATACCCATGTCTATGCACACCGTTCAGTTCTTGTTGTCACCCAACAGTGATTCTAGTGTGCCAACAGAGAAGAGGGGGGGTGAACAGTGCTCCTCCCGTCTAGATTTCGTTGTGCACCCATTTGATCCTGCAAGCTCAGTGCAGGAGGCACCTTCCCTGTGCTTTCCCGTGGGCAACATGTTTGTGTCACTCTTCGAAGCAGTATCTTTGCCCTTCAGTGTGCAAGGTTTTCATTAATGTGAAAGCAAAAGCATGTCTGTGTTCTGTTCCCAATTCCCTTCATTCCCCTTCCGATCCTCCTGTCTTCGTCTGTGCTCTGTTCTTTTGTTCCCATCAGTCTGCCCTATCTTCTCCCTCTCTCCTGCTGTCGCCTTTTTCCAGAGGCCACAGTCTTTGCCGGCTCAAAACAAAGCATTCTCAGGCTGAGATCCTTACCCTACTCCTCTGCTCCCTTACCCTTCTCCTCTGCTCCCTTACCCTTCTCCTCTGCTCCCTTACCCTTCCTCGCCCTCTTCCTGCTGTTGTTTCTTTCACAGAGGCGAGCTGGAACGACTGTTTGCCGGCACGCCCACCGTCTTTGCGGGCTTGAAGCAGGGGACCGACCTCTCCCACGCATTCGCATCCGGAGACGTCTTCATCACCCCCTCCGAAACAGAGACCCTGGGAAACGTGGTTCTTGAAGCCATGGCGTCAGGTGTCCCTGTTGTCGCCGCCCGGGCAGGTGGAATCCCAGATATTGTCAACAGAGAGGGGCAGAACGGGTTCCTGTTCACGCCAGGGGACGTGGACGACGCGGTCGGCAAGCTGCGGCAGCTAGTGGCGTCGAGGAAAATGCGGGAGGAGATGGCAGGGGTGGCTTTACGGGACGCGGAGGCGTGTGATTGGAGGGCGAGCACTCAGACAGTGAGGAATGAGCACTATGGGAGAGCGGTCTACTCGTTCATTCGCAAGGGGCAGATGATTCTGAGGAGCAGGAAGCCGCTGGCTGTGGCTGCACCTGCCACTGTGTTCCCCCCCGGGCCTCGTGACCTGCGATGAGCTTTCTGTGACACGCATTCATGCTTTGGTTCCACCACTCTTCGCTTCTGCTCTGCTGCTGCTCCGATTTCTACAGCTGCTGCACCTGCCACTGTTCCCCCCCCGGGCCTCGTGACCTGCGATGAGTTCGCTCACTCACGGTCTATCCGTCAGCACTACCAGCACCACTCCTCCCTTTTGCTGCTCCTTCTGAACGCCTGTAGCTGCACCTGCGACTGTGTCCTTCAGCATCACCAATACTGCTCCTCCCTTGGCTGCACCTTGGTTCTGCTGTGGTTGCATCTACGACTCTCTTATTCCCCTTTCCCCCGCTCCGGACCTTGGCACTTGGGATGACAGCTCTAACACCAGGTGCTGTTGCGGCTCTCTGCTTGCCTCTACTTTCTTTCCCGCGCAGAAAGGGTCTATTTCCCCTGCCAGTTTTGTTTGCTACATAGTAGTCATGCATACTCCTGCATTTTTGTTACAGCCAGTCAGGCGCTCAGTGGAACAGTCGTTCCTGGTCATGCCCCAGTTACGGTATCAATACAGGTCAACCTTTATGATTCGATTAAGTCAGTTATTGATGCACTCTTTGGCCTTTGGTTTGGTCCGCTACATGCACATAGCAGTACTGCTAAGAGAAAGCAGTAGCGTACGCTACCTGAAAAGGCACATCCTAGCAAGTCACATTCTTGCACCTCTCTGCAAAATCCCTCCATCTCATGTCCTCCTGCTGGTGCTGTGGCCATTTGCCTGAATGACGTGGTGGTCACAGAAGCTCACAGCCAGAACAGAAAGCCTTCATTCGCATTTTGTATCTGTTGCAATGTAGTATTCCCTTTCTGGAGTGTAGCACAACTGTAAATGAACACTAATTAATGCCATATTTACACTGATTTCCCAAACCAGGACACCTGTCGCACGAAATAGAGATCTACAGTAAATCAAACGAGCATTTTTGCCTCCTCTGCCAGGTGCCTGAAGGCTTCTAGACAGGGTCGGCACAGAAGCCCTGTGTCAGAGCAGAGCAAATACTGCTTCAGTGCAGAGCAGGTGCGTGTCGGGCTGAGATGGGGGGTGTCTTTGCCTCCTTAGTCAGCCGGTGGAAAGTCTCTAGGAAGCATTGACAGAGCAGGGCGGGTGTTGGGCGCACGCTGCTTCAATGATTAGCAGCAGATACTGACCTCTCAGATGAGTTTCTTTGCTTCCTTAGTCAGCTGGTGAAAGGCCTCTACGAAGCACCGGCAGAGCAGGTGGGGGTTCGGCACATGCTGCTTTACAGCCGACACCACAATGCGAGCTGATCCCTTGTACGTCTGGATGTGACATGTGAGCGCCTGGTGGAGATGACGATAACGAGGATAAATTACAATGGAGAAGGTAAGGATGACAATAATGAGGACAGGTTTTAATGGGAGGGGTAAGGATGACAATAATGACGATATATGCCACGGGAAAAAGGTAGGATGTCAATAACGAGGATGAAATCCAATAGAGAATGTAAGCATGACAAAAACACCAATAGAGAACGTAAGCATGACAATAACATGGATAGGTTCCGAACCAACGGAGAAGGTTAAGATGAGAGAGGTACAGCAGGCCAGGCAAAGGCCTGTTCACCCTGGAGGGAAAGAAAGGTGCACTCACATGGTTGCTGCCGTAGACCGATGGTATGATGGCAGCAATGGGATGGCCGTGCAGCGCCACCTCCTCCAGAGGCCCCACCACGTTGGAGAGGGAGAGAGTGGTCTGGTCCAGGCCGCGCCTTGTGAGGGCTGCTACTGCCTGGAGGGAGGGAGGCATGGCATAACGTAGGTAGCCAGGGGAACCAGCGGAGCCAGGGAGCTGCTGCTACTCTTCCATGACACCTGATCCCTGGAATTTGCAGGGTGTTTTTGAGAATTCTCAAAAACACCTTGCAAAATTGACATCTGATCCCTGGAACCAGCGGAGACAGGGAGTGATCAACACACTGACGCTCCCTCCATGCTGGAGAGGGAGAGAGAGAGAGAGTGGTCTGGTCCAGCCCGCGCATTGTGAGGGCTGTTACGGGCTGGTGGGAGGAGAATGGGAGCCAGGAGGGGGAGCAACGGGAGTGAGGAGGAGGGGGGGCAACGGGAGTCAGGAGGAGGGGGAGCAACGGGAGTCAGGAGGAGGGGGAGCAACGGGAGTCAGGAGGAGGGGGGGCAACGGGAGTCAGGAGGAGGGGGAGCAACAAGGGCCAAGGGGCCAAAGGGGGATGGCCGACACTGTGAGGGCCCACCACGTTGGAGAGGGAGAGAGCGATCTGGTCCAAGGCGCGCCGAGTGATGGCAGCCATGGCTGTTTGGGAAACACGGGGAGCACAGAGAGACGGGGAGGCATGATGGCGTGGCAGCGGCAGTCCCATGCAGTGCACCCTCCTCCAGCGAGAGAGTGGTCCTCCTCTACGGAGAGATGCGAGCACCTCCACGTTGATTTTTGAGGCGCCTAAAAAAAGTCCTCCTCTACGGAGAGATGCGAGCACCTCCACGTTGAAGAGGGAGAGAACGGTCTGGTCCATGCTGTGCCTTGTGAGGGCTGCTACAGGCTGGTGGGAGGCAAGCATGGCACAGGTAGAGAGAGATAGAGAGAGGTAGAGAGAGGCAGAGAGGTAGAGAGAGGTAGAGAGAGGTAGAAAGAGGTAGAGAGAGGTAGAGGGAACCACGAGAGAACGAGAGTGATCAGCACACTGGGCCTCCCACCATGCTAGAGAGAGGTAAAGAGAGGTTTGATCCAAGCTCCGCCTGAAGATGACTGCTACTGGCTGGTGGAAGGAGAAGGGGAGCAATGAGGGGGAGCAATGAGGGGGAGCAATGAGGGGGAGCAATGAGGGGGAGCACGGGAGACAAGACAACGAGGGCGAGGGGGAGTGATTTACACAGGAAGGGTCGCGCCGAGTTGTGGCGAGAGAGAGATGACGCAGATTTACACTGAGAGGGTCCCACAGTGGTAAATACGCATCTCCCCTCGCCTCGCATCTCCCCTCGCCTCGCATCTCCCCTCGCCTCGCATCTCTCATTGCATCCCAGCAGTGGCACGAGCGCTCGCCCATTCAGGTACATCCAGTGGGCCACGGGGGAAACCCCCCTTTTTGAGTCATGAGCTTTGAGCCAGCTTTTGAGTCGACTAAAAAACTCGACTCAAAAGTCACATTTTTTCCAACGCTCCATACCTCGCTGACTTTTAAGTCGACTCAAAAATCAAAAATTTCCAACACACTACACCTTGCTGCACCCCACCTTGCACCCAAGAATCGGCACCAGCACTCGCCCATTCAAGTTGCGTCGAATGAGCCATCAACGAACGAACCCCTCCTCGAAGCACACATCGCGTGCACCACTAGCAGCATCAGCACTCACCTTACAGCAGCCCATCTCGCATGACCTCAACAACCCATCCCACAACTAACCTTGCATTGCGCCAGCGGCATTAGCCCTCGAGTGGGCTGTAACAGAGTCCTTCCTCGAGCCACACAGCACCTTGCAACCCGCACCTCCCCTCGCCCCACAACGCACCTTGCATCCAACAATCAGCATCAGCACTCGCCCATTCAGGTACGTTCAGTGGGCCGTACGAGAGTCTTTCCTCGAGCCATACAACACCTTGCAAGTTGCAACCCGCACCTCCCCTCGCCCCACAACGCACCTTGCATCCAACAAGCGGCATCAGCACTCGCCCATTCAGGTACGTTCAGTGGGCCGTACGAGAGTCTTTCCTCGAGCCATACAACACCTTGCAAGTTGCAACCCGCACCTCCCCTCGCCCCACAACGCACCTTGCACCCCACCAGTGGCATCAGCGCTCGCCCATTCAAGTACGTCCAGTGCGCCATGAGAGAGTCCTTCCTCGACGCACACAGCGCCTGCACTGCCTGCAATCGCTCCACCTCCTCCCTGCGGTATCCAGTACCCTCCTCCCCCTGCGCCCTGCTGTATACGGGCAGTGGCAGCAGGACATTCCCCAGGTGGTTGCCCCACCGTGCCTGCGACCTCTGCCCAGCCATCAGCTCCTTGAGCTCCTGAGACAAGAGAGGGGTAGGCGGGTGGGGTTTAATGTTGGTTCAGAAAGGCATGCGGGTTACCAAGTGGCAGCCGGACATTCCCCAGGTGGTTGCTGCACCGCGCCTGCGACCTCTGCCCGGCCGTCAGCGCACTCAGCTCCTGGGGGTGGGTGGGTGAGGTGAGGGTTGGGGGGAGTAGACAGAGGGGAGATGGACGGCCAGAGTTCAAAGGTTTGAGGCTTTAAGGTGGTCGCCCAACCATGCCTGGGTCCGCTGCCCTGCCATTAGCGCACTCAACTCCCGGGGGTCGGGTGAGGTGAGAGTTGAAGGACATCGGCAGCCGGGGTTTCAGGGTTTGAGGTTTGAAGATGGGTCAGCTGCCATGGCCAACCATGCTGGGGACCTCTGCCCTGCCACACGCTCACACGCTCACACGCTCACACGCTCGAGGTGACTTTTGAGTCGACTCAAAAGTCTCTCAGCTCTTGGGAAATGTGGGTTGGGATGGGGAAGAAGCTTGGGGGGGATAGTTTTTTTAGGCGCCTAAAAAAACCTTTTCGCTGCCACTTGCTCACGCAGCTCTTGAGAAATGTGGAATGGGATGGGGGAGAGGGTTGGGGGGGGACAGACAGAGAGGCATAGACGGCCAGGGTTTAAGGGTTTGAGGCAGGCGGTTGCCCCATTGCGCCTGGGTCCACAGCCCTGCCATCAGTTCACTCAGCTCCCCAAGTCGGGTGAGGGTTGAAAGACACTGGCAGCCAGGGACCTCAGCCATTGCAAACCATGCCGGGGACCTCTGCCCTGCCACACGCTCACTCAGCTCCTGGGGAATGTGGGTTGGGATGGGGGAGAGGGTTGGGGGGGATAGTTTAATGAGGCGCCTAAAAAACCTCTGCCCTGCCATAGGCTCACTCAGCTCCTCGGAAATGCGGGTTGGGATGGGGGAGAGGGTGGAGGGGGATAGACAGAGGGACATGGACGGCCAGGGTAAAAAGGGTTTGAGGCGGGCAGTTGCCCCATTGCGCCTGGGTCCACTGCCTTGCCATCAGTTCACTCAGCTCCCCAAGTGGTTCCCTCACGGTGGCTGTGACTTATGTCCCGGCATCGGATGAGTAAGCTCCTGATGGGCGGGTAAGGGTTGGCCGGCATTGTCTGAGGGGACATGGACCGTCAGGGTGCCAGGGATCGAGGTGGTTACCCCACCTCGCCTGAGACCCCCGTGCTGCCATCAAGTAAATCATATCCTCGCTTTCGGTCGGAGAATTCTATTTTTGAGGCGCCTAAAGAATGCACCAACTCAAATCCTGCATTTGGTTGGGTTGATTTAGGCTATTTCTTTAGTCCTGAGGCGCCTGAAAACTAGTTTTGAGGCGCCTCAAAACGAGAATGCACTAACTCAGATCCTGCATTTGCTTGGGTCGGTTTAGGCTATTTCTTTTAGGCGCCTAGAAATGAGACTAACCCAGATCCTGCATTTGGTTGGATCGGTTTAGGCTATTTCTTTTAGGCGCCTAGAAATGAGACTAACCCAGATCCTGCATTTGGTTGGATCGGTTTAGGCTATTTCTTTTAGGCGCCTAGAAATGAGACTAACCCAGATCCTGCATTTGGGTTGGTTTAGGCTATTTCTTTTAGGCGCCTAGAAATGAGACTAACCCAGATCCTGCATTTGGTTGGATCGGTTTAGGCTATTTCTTTTAGGCGCCTAGAAATGAGACTAACCCAGATCCTGCATTTGGGTTGGTTTAGGCTATTTCTTTTAGGCGCCTAGAAATGAGACTAACCCAGATCCTGCATTTGGTTGGATCGGTTTAGGCTATTTCTTTTAGGCGCCTAGAAATGAGACTAACCCAGATCCTGCATTTGGGTCGGTTTAGGCGATTTCTTTTAGGCGCCTAGAAATGAGACTAACCCAGATCCTGCATTTGGGTCGGTTTAGGCTATTTCTTTTAGGCGCCTAGAAATGAGACTAACCCAGATCCTCCATTTGGTTGGGTCGGTTTAGGCTATTTCTTTTAGGCGCCTAGAAATGAGACTAACCCAGATCCTGCATTTGGTTGGATCGGTTTAGGCTATTTCTTTTAGGCGCCTAGAAATGAGACTAACCCAGATCCTGCATTTGGGTCGGTTTAGGCTATTTCTTTTAGGCGCCTAGAAATGAGACTAACCCAGATCCTGCATTTGGTTGGATCGGTTTAGGCTATTTCTTTTAGGCGCCTAGAAATGAGACTAACCCAGATCCTGCATTTGGGTCGGTTTAGGCGATTTCTTTTAGGCGCCTAGAAATGAGACTAACCCAGATCCTGCATTTGGGTCGGTTTAGGCTATTTCTTTTAGGCGCCTAGAAATGAGACTAACCCAGATCCTCCATTTGGTTGGGTCGGTTTAGGCTATTTCTTTTAGGCGCCTAGAAATGAGACTAACCCAGATCCTGCATTTGGTTGGATCGGTTTAGGCTATTTCTTTTAGGCGCCTAGAAATGAGACTAACCCAGATCCTGCATTTGGGTTGGTTTAGGCTATTTCTTTTAGGCGCCTAGAAATGAGACTAACCCAGATCCTGCATTTGGTTGGATCGGTTTAGGCTATTTCTTTTAGGCGCCTAGAAATGAGACTAACCCAGATCCTGCATTTGGGTCGGTTTAGGCGATTTCTTTTAGGCGCCTAGAAATGAGACTAACCCAGATCCTGCATTTGGGTCGGTTTAGGCTATTTCTTTTAGGCGCCTAGAAATGAGACTAACCCAGATCCTCCATTTGGTTGGGTCGGTTTAGGCTATTTCTTTTAGGCGCCTAGAAATGAGACTAACCCAGATCCTGCATTTGGTTGGATCGGTTTAGGCTATTTCTTTTAGGCGCCTAGAAATGAGACTAACCCAGATCCTGCATTTGGTTGGATCGGTTTAGGCTATTTCTTTTAGGCGCCTAGAAATGAGACTAACCCAGATCCTGCATTTGGGTTGGTTTAGGCTATTTCTTTTAGGCGCCTAGAAATGAGACTAACCCAGATCCTGCATTTGGTTGGATCGGTTTAGGCTATTTCTTTTAGGCGCCTAGAAATGAGACTAACCCAGATCCTGCATTTGGGTTGGTTTAGGCTATTTCTTTTAGGCGCCTAGAAATGAGACTAACCCAGATCCTGCATTTGGTTGGATCGGTTTAGGCTATTTCTTTTAGGCGCCTAGAAATGAGACTAACCCAGATCCTGCATTTGGGTCGGTTTAGGCGATTTCTTTTAGGCGCCTAGAAATGAGACTAACCCAGATCCTGCATTTGGGTCGGTTTAGGCTATTTCTTTTAGGCGCCTAGAAATGAGACTAACCCAGATCCTCCATTTGGTTGGGTCGGTTTAGGCTATTTCTTTTAGGCGCCTAGAAATGAGACTAACCCAGATCCTGCATTTGGTTGGATCGGTTTAGGCTATTTCTTTTAGGCGCCTAGAAATGAGACTAACCCAGATCCTGCATTTGGTTGGATCGGTTTAGGCTATTTCTTTTAGGCGCCTAGAAATGAGACTAACCCAGATCCTGCATTTGGGTTGGTTTAGGCTATTTCTTTTAGGCGCCTAGAAATGAGACTAACCCAGATCCTGCATTTGGTTGGATCGGTTTAGGCTATTTCTTTTAGGCGCCTAGAAATGAGACTAACCCAGATCCTGCATTTGGGTTGGTTTAGGCTATTTCTTTTAGGCGCCTAGAAATGAGACTAACCCAGATCCTGCATTTGGTTGGATCGGTTTAGGCTATTTCTTTTAGGCGCCTAGAAATGAGACTAACCCAGATCCTGCATTTGGGTCGGTTTAGGCGATTTCTTTTAGGCGCCTAGAAATGAGACTAACCCAGATCCTGCATTTGGGTCGGTTTAGGCTATTTCTTTTAGGCGCCTAGAAATGAGACTAACCCAGATCCTCCATTTGGTTGGGTCGGTTTAGGCTATTTCTTTTAGGCGCCTAGAAATGAGACTAACCCAGATCCTGCATTTGGTTGGATCGGTTTAGGCTATTTCTTTTAGGCGCCTAGAAATGAGACTAACCCAGATCCTGCATTTGGTTGGATCGGTTTAGGCTATTTCTTTTAGGCGCCTAGAAATGAGACTAACCCAGATCCTGCATTTGGGTTGGTTTAGGCTATTTCTTTTAGGCGCCTAGAAATGAGACTAACCCAGATCCTGCATTTGGTTGGATCGGTTTAGGCTATTTCTTTTAGGCGCCTAGAAATGAGACTAACCCAGATCCTGCATTTGGGTTGGTTTAGGCTATTTCTTTTAGGCGCCTAGAAATGAGACTAACCCAGATCCTGCATTTGGTTGGATCGGTTTAGGCTATTTCTTTTAGGCGCCTAGAAATGAGACTAACCCAGATCCTGCATTTGGGTCGGTTTAGGCGATTTCTTTTAGGCGCCTAGAAATGAGACTAACCCAGATCCTGCATTTGGGTCGGTTTAGGCTATTTCTTTTAGGCGCCTAGAAATGAGACTAACCCAGATCCTCCATTTGGTTGGGTCGGTTTAGGCTATTTCTTTTAGGCGCCTAGAAATGAGACTAACCCAGATCCTGCATTTGGTTGGATCGGTTTAGGCTATTTCTTTTAGGCGCCTAGAAATGAGACTAACCCAGATCCTGCATTTGGGTCGGTTTAGGCTATTTCTTTTAGGCGCCTAGAAATGAGACTAACCCAGATCCTGCATTTGGTTGGATCGGTTTAGGCTATTTCTTTTAGGCGCCTAGAAATGAGACTAACCCAGATCCTGCATTTGGGTCGGTTTAGGCGATTTCTTTTAGGCGCCTAGAAATGAGACTAACCCAGATCCTGCATTTGGGTCGGTTTAGGCTATTTCTTTTAGGCGCCTAGAAATGAGACTAACCCAGATCCTCCATTTGGTTGGGTCGGTTTAGGCTATTTCTTTTAGGCGCCTAGAAATGAGACTAACCCAGATCCTGCATTTGGTTGGATCGGTTTAGGCTATTTCTTTTAGGCGCCTAGAAATGAGACTAACCCAGATCCTGCATTTGGGTTGGTTTA